ATTATTGTTGTAGTATTAAATTATTTATGCCCGTTCGACTTTAGAATATACGAAATACACAATGTCACATCGTCAAAACTTCAATACATCGACAGCATAACATATATGTTCATCACATGCACATGGATAACGTCTGTTTCTCACTATTCAACTTACTAGCTAAACTCCTGAATCAACACGTATGCTTTAACTTTGATGTCAATTTTTTCGCAGAACACAAATTTTGGATGAGTTGCATTGTATAATCAAGTTTTTTGTGTAATCTGAGTTTATCTAAGCAAACATTAAGTAATATTTTGAGTGTCATAAAAATTTTCGAAATATAGTTGCAATTAGTTCTTTATTTTTTAAAATTTAAATATGAGGGCATATTCGTTGTTTCACAGTTTTTACTGAGAAATTGAATGAAAAATGGATAAAAAGGATTATTTAAGCAACTAAATGTTTAATCAAATGTGAAAATGTCAGAAAAAGAAAAGAAAAAAAGAAATGTATGGACGTTTTTTACAATAATAGTGAAAAGGTAAAAACGTTATATACTAATTACCCCATTACTAATGTATTTAAGACTCGTTTGCACTTTTTTTTTAAAAATAAAATGGAATTATGATTATAATTAGTTCTATTCATTTTGTTTTTGTTTTTATTTAAATAAATGATAGATTCATCATTTCACTGCTTTTTTAATTGGAAAATGAATGAAAATGACATCTTACTTAATGAAAGGTGAAATAAGGGTAAAAATGTCAAAAGATGAAACGTGATGATGTTTTTCACAATAATAGTGAACGTAAGGACGTTATGTGCTAATTACCATTTTTATTTACTATTATAGACTTTTGACCACGAACCAAAAAAAAAAAAAATGCACAATAAGATTCTCTAATTTTTTTATTGTATTAATGTCAAACTAGAGTTTGTAATGGTATTTAAAGGATGATAGTTATACTAGGGTTTGTAGAAGTATTAGAAAAATGATATTTACATGGATCAAGGTTATTGTACAGACGGACATGTTTGGTTCAATTAAAAAATTAATTAAATTTTAAGTCAAAAACACAATTATACCATATATTTCATGGGACGCATAATTTTTCAACCATGTAATTAAATTTTAAAATAAACAAAAACCTTAAAATATTTCTAGAAGATTAGTAACGGTTCGTGTGTGTGTATTATGTCCCTATTTAAGATAACTTATTATTATTATCAATGAATATAAACTAATCTTATCAAATCATTATTTAATGAACATGTGTATTGAAAAAAAATGTAAGAAATATTTATACTTCTAACTATATGAATTAACTTTCTTTATATGTGTGAAAATTGAAACATACACGAATGAGTCTCTTTGATGGAGTGCTCTTATGCTTAAGATGAATGCGGTTAGGCGATCTTCCAAAGTCGTGGGATGAAAAGTACATCAGTACGAGAAGAACAAGAGTTATTCATTAATAAAAATTTCTTTCACATCCAAATTCGATGTTGTAGGAGACCATTTTCATCTTTTTTTTTTAGGTTATAGCTCATGTTTTTAACTAGACATTCACACAAATAAAATATTTTGCACATAATTTCAAAATTTTCTCCACTTTTTAACCATACATCATTACTCAAAATATTATTTTTCCCAATTTCTATTCATAGGATCATCCGTTAATTGTGTGGAAAATAGGAGAAGAAAGAATCAATTGTTCCACTGGTCACTGAACTTAGGTTTATATTTTTTATTGTTCACTGAAATTTAAAATGTCAAGTTTTAATCACTAAATTTAGATTCATGTCTTCGATTGTTCACTTGAGTTTAAAATGTTGGGTTTTAGCCACAAAATTTTGAAAAATGTTGTACGTTACTCATTAGCATAGACGTTGAACTTTGGAAAATGTCGAACTTACAGCGAGTAATGTACAATATTTTTCAAAATTCAGTGACCAAAACTCAACATTTTAAACTCAAGTGAGCGATCGAAGACACGAACTTAAGTTTAGTGAGTAAAACTTGACATTTTAAATTTTAGTGACCAATAAAAAATATAAACATAAGTTCACTGACCATTGGAACAATTAACTCCAGAAGAAATTTGATTGGATTTTGAGTAAAGCTAGACTTACAGCAAAAATGGTACAGAACCTTTACAGAACACATACATATCAGGGTGGATGGGTCTTTTTTTTTTTTGCAGTATTTTAATATACATGGAGTCCACCGAATGTGAAGGTCTGTAATTTTTATGTGAAAAATAATTTTGTATATTCAGTTTTTTCCTTGAATTTGAAGGGAATGGGGAGGAGGGTGGGGCCCTTATAGAAGAGAGGATGAGAGACGTTTTTGCATATCAAACTGTGAGGAATGGGACACCCAAAGGGTCCTATTTATAGACCATGAAAGGGTGTGGACGAAATGGTTGAGGCCAAACCATGCACCCTTTCCAAACAATGCATCTTTATGAAAATGTGTCTATTCACTAATGGTTGAGGCCTTTTTCGTAATTTCTCATTCATCCGATATTGGTTTTCGAAATGCCAAATATACCCTAAACGGATTGAGTCGAGCTTTTGAGTATTTGGCCGAAATCGATACGAACTTTAATCGATTTTCAATTCTCGATTTATTTAACCAATATCCAACATTTAGTGGATTGAATCTTGTTGAGCTAAGAAATGAAACAATAAAATGAATAATTAGGCCAAAAATTAAAAAATTAGAAATAAAACAAATTATTGGGCCAAAAATTTGGATTTATAAATTGTTAATTTGTTTAGAAAAAATTAAAATTAAAATAATTTGATTTATTCAATATAAAAAAAATTAGAAAGATTCGATTCTTACGAGGTTCTTCGGTTCTTGATTTAGAATCGAGAATCGAACCGTACCCGTCGGTTCTCAATTCAGATACCCATTCGAGTATTTAATTTGACAAGAACAGTTGAGTTCGGTTCGAGAGATTTGCCCAACCCTAGTCACAAGTTAAAACTCTCAAACTTCATGTCAAAAAAATGTACACGTAGCATTACTTTTATACCTTTGTCTAACGGTCAAATAGATGGATTTCATCCACCTCATGATATGTTCTATCATACTTAAAAGTACATTGATCGAGTTACTTATTTATTAAAAAATTTTGAATTTTACATATTTTACTGAGAAAATTTACTTTTTAAGAAAGTAATCTTAACTTGATTATAATAAATAACCTTTAGTCCGATTTGGGGATCTTTTCTTAAAATTCATTTATTAAATTAATTTTTACTCATACATTTCATTAATGTCTTATTTGACTCACATTCTTTAAAAAAATATATATTTTTAAACAGTAATTTAATATTATTTCAATTACACATTTTTCAATAAAATAATATCACACACATATTCCAAAAAATTTCTTATTTTTTAACAACACATTTTCTATGAATATACTATTTAAAAATGATTATTGTGAAAAAACGTGGCTCAAACAAGGGCTAAATTCACAACTTTTATCAATTTCTTAACCACGTATATCACCAAAATTTTCAAAAAAAAAAAAAAAAAAACTAAAAATTTAACTTTTATCCAAACCAAACATCGGCTTACATGTGCTCTTAAAATGTAACTGGTGCGAAATTTAAAAGTTAGAGTTCGGATGTAAAAGTATAGCTTGGAGATGGGCGAAGTCAAGAATTCAAAGTTCAAGAAATATAAATTGAGATACAAGCATTGTCTTATACATTATTTGAGGACTCTTATTGCAATTTTCCTTTACACTTTCGTAATAGAACGTGAATAATACAGGAAATGGTTTTTTATTTTTATTTTTTTTGAATGAAATGGGATTTTAATTTCAAATTGTAGGCAACTTTTTAAGAAAGTTATTTTATTGTCAAGTTTCTTCTTATGATATGAAAAGAATAGGAGTTGATAATAAGCTTAGATAATATTTGGCAAGAGCTCTTTTTCAATAAATGTTCATCCCACTTTCGTTGTCAAAACATTTTATTGTAATATTTTTTTGGTTACCTATATAATGATATATGAGTGTCGACTTTAAAAATTTTTGGTTACCTAATGCAAAACACTATTATAATTTAAAAAATAAAAATATAAAAAGTAGAGATCATCATTTATAGTATCAACATAGTGCATTCAGGAGTTTAAAATGATAATGGAACGTATCGCCTCACACTGTTTGCCTTGGCTTGCCCTAACCAGAAAATACTAAAAGTAGGGTTGCTCTTTGAGTTGAGCCATGTTCCATGCACAGCTCTAAGGACTTGTGGCCTAACTGGGCTGTGTCGCACGACTTGAGCAGAACTTCATTTTTCTTCTAAAAAACAAAACAAAAAATAATAATAATAAAATAATTAGGGGCTTTTTAATTAAGACGAACTACAATAATGCAGGATCTACATATAAGCAATTATTTATTTATTTTTTCAAAAGGGAAAATTAATCGAATCATCATGAATTGGGAATGTAGAGAATTGATATTTGCATACTACGTTGATAGAGATAGCAATGGATCGAGTCGATTCGCCTAGCCAACAAAGTGGTTTACTCATTGAGCTCAGCTCGTCCCTTGAACTCGAAATGAGATGAGCCACTCATGGGCTAAGTTCTCACGAGTCAATTTGTTGAGTCGGTAAGCGACTTGATCCATTGTCAATCTCTAAATGTAGGCAACTAGGAATTTGAAATGGAGAATGGAGAAGTATATGGCGGTGGAGCAAAGGGGGGAAAAATGAAGGGTTACATCTTGAGGTTGCCGCCGGAAGAAGGTTCATTTTGTTTTTATTCATCGTCTTATATCTATTTAAAGTCGAGGACCAATAAAGTTGAAAAACAAATGCTGGAGATAGAAGTACAAAAAGTGCTAAAGATTGCGGACAAGAGCTGTAATTTAGCTCTTATTAATTGATAAATAAATAATATTTATTTATTTATTTATTTATTTATTTTTTTATGAGTTGAAATCAAACATAAATAATTTACTTATTTTGAAAGAATCAAAGAATAAAAAATGGTGACCCGTCCAATTCGAAAACAAAATAATAACTTTACCATCTTCTGCTTGGTAACTCTATCCGGGTGGATTAATTATTCAAAAACCCAGATCGAGAACAATGTATGAATCCCAGCAACATTTGGTAGATTTACAGGAAAATGGAGGTTTCGGGTCGGATCCCAACTCATGGTTATCCGGCGCCGACGACCGCTCGTCTCTCAGCCGAACCTTTTCTTCTCTTTCCACCGCAGCCGCTTCCGCTGCCGCCACTGGCGATGTCGACCGCGTTCTCTTCAACGATCTCGTTGAGATGGTCCCTCTCGTTCAGTCTCTCATTGTACTTACAAGCATTCCTCTCTATATGCATTTTAATTTAATCATTTTTATTTTTTCCCAAAAATACGTAGGTGAAAAAACTGGATTTTTTTCCCATTTTTTTGGAACTGATGAATTTGTATCAAATTGTGTAGGATCGGAAAGCGAATCCTTCATTTACGCGACGGGGTTCTATGATCTGTACCAAGATGCCCAGTAGAGAGTCGCTCTACAAGAAGGTAACTTTTTCATTTTTTCTATCAACTTTTCCTTCTGAGGTTTGATTACTTATACTGTGTAAATAAGTGTACATATTTTGATAATTCTGCAAAATTTAGATGATAAAATAATGATTGGATTATTTTTTCTGCATTACTTAACGCTGTGATTTTTTTATTTTTTGTACTGAATTTTCTGATTTATGCCTATGGCCCTAGTTATTGTCTCAAAATCTATTTGTTTATGAGATACAAATTGGGGACAAGAGAGAGCAACTGAATTATTTTCAGTTACTCTCTTTCGTCCAGTGATGAGAAGGACAACGATTACCCACTAAGGAAGTGTGCATGTTGACTGACCTTCAAATGTTGCAATGTCTTGCTTTATACACGAAATTCTGTAAGGTAGAGAGTCAAAGAATATATTATTTGAAAACACTAGAGAAATGACAAAAAAATCTTTAAAATGTGATCTTAAAATTAGAAAGATTAATATGTTTTTTAGACGGACAGTAAAAGTAAGTTTTTCTCACAATAAAATTAAAAAAAAAAAAATCAAGCCTTAGCTTCCTTATTACTTTTTGACTCCTATTTTATACGAGTTTTTAAGTGCAAGGTAGTGGTTTGTGTTAGAGAACTTAAATTACGACTATCATTTCGACTTTAGATTGGCATGCTTACCGCGGCTGCCTTAAAAAGAATGAAAACCACCAAATTGTATTTTTTAAACACAGACATGATGACTTGTCACTGAGAAGCTTAGACAACAAAAGCTAAACATTCTCCAACAAATTTGGGGTCGGCCACAAAAAGCCTTTTGTGCCCTCTGTTTGGTTCGTTGGTAGGCATACATGAAGATCTAAAGCAATCCATAACAACCATAGGCCGTGTTTTGGTTTCCCCCTCCCTAGTTTGAAATGCTCTATTGAGATTGTGTCATTCCTATAAAGAGTATGTGGAACATGTTCTAACCACCTAAGTCATCATTTCCATATAATTTCCTCAATGAGCAGTCGGCACCCCCAGTCCTTGTCATTTATAAGCTTGGAGATGACAACTTCAGAGAACCAAAATCATAAAGTATGGTTGGATAACCTAGTCCGAATACAGTGTTACCCTTGTCCTTCAAAGTGTGCTATACAACTAAAATGATTTTTATTAGGATGTTAGTTTTTTCATTGTTGATGGTCTCAAGCAACACAAGTTATATTTTCTGGTCATGAATTCAAAGTGGGTTATGAAGTTGAATTTTTTGCTGCAGGCGATCACAACAAAAAAGCAGAGGGACCAAAACAAAAATGTGGCGAATAACCCAGATGGATGTGCTGACGATTTCTCCATTTTCTCTTCAAGTTCAGTGTTTTCAGAAAAGGATAGAAAAGATTTGGCATCACTTAGGGAACAAGTGGAAGATCTACAGAGAAAGCTTTCAGAAAAAGATGAACTTCTGAAATCAGTGGAACTTTCAAAGAAGGAGATGGCATCCATCCATGCTGAACTTGATAACCTTAAAAACGAGGATGCAGAAAAGGATTTTTTGATTAAGTCCAGTCAACTACAGCTCTCTGATACGAAGGTATGCATTTGATGCAATAGTCCTCCTCCCCTCAGCCCAAAGGATAAAAGAGAAAGGAAAGTAAATGCAAACTGGAAACAAGTTCTCTCTCTCTCTCTCTCTCTAATATTTTAAATGATCTGAAAACACCTGAATTTCAAGACTATCCTTTTGATAACATTCATGTAGCTCCACCTAAATTTAATTGCCTAAATACCCTCACTTCTTGGGGATTTTGTTACTTAATTGGGGAACATTATTGTTTCTTTCATTGTTTTAATGGAGTGTAATTTGCAAATGTTTCCAATTCTCTACTTTTGTGCTTTGTTAATCATGGGTTTCGGAGTAATTAATGATTTATTTTAGGGTGATTCTATTGATTGATTTTCTTTCCACAATTATTAGGTTTATCTTAAAAAGTTTCCATTTGTTATTATTTAGGTAACCTTCTATTTTACCAGGGATTTTAAGTATTAATAGGATTCATCCTTTTTTATAAGGTTGATAATATTTTAGCCTAAATTGGAATTTTGAAATACCCGTTTTATTAAGTCGCAGTTTATCTCAGTAGTAGTTTCCTACGTTGCTAGGTTTCAGCATGGGTGTAGGATACGGGTAGATATTCAAGACTTGGATCCTTCTTTTAAAAATTAGGATACATCGATACATTATAAAATTATCCAAATTTTGGATTTGGGTACAGGAATATGTCTTACATAGTTTTTTTTTTTTTTTTAATATAAATTTATTTAAATTCAACACCAAAATAACTAAAAACGATATAACAATAAATCATTTAAATTCAATTCTAGAATAACAAAAACAAAAGGTGAGCTAAACTGTCTTCTTCCACACCCGTCTGCCTTTTCCAACTGAAACACCGAGGATCCAATCCAGATCCTGCGTTAGTATCCGTGTAATGTCATATTGCAACAGGTACTTCACCATTTTCGAAGAGTTTGGGCATCACAAATAGTTACACCTGTTAAAACTAATTTTAATATTCTCTGGACTCTACTTTGTTTTTTTGATTGAAACTGTTGGGGATGGAGATAAAAAGAATGTTGGTGACAGGTCAATATCATTTTTTCTTCTTGTTGAGAGATGAACGTGTATTTTTCCTGCAGCCTAATCTTTTGAGGAAGTTTTATTGGAATTTAAATTGCATCAAATAATAAGTTTTCAATCTACCACTCACTTTTTCTTAGAAATTAGAATGAAAAGGTTGTATCAGTTTCATGCAAGAGTAGAGATTTAAGAGATTCAATATTACACTTCGGTAGATGTGATTACAATAGTGAGCACCTGAAACAGAAAAATGGTTTTGGCTGGGTGTCTGTCTGCACACACATCTAAGTACGCATTTACTGTTCATTACCAAATATTTCACTTGTTCTGACAGGATAATTAAAGTTAACAATATAACATCGGTGAGATGGTTGTAAATATAGATTCTCAACATAATATCTTGCATTTCTTGCCTATCTGATGAACCGTCTTGACTTCTGTATTTTGAGGACACAAGTTTGGAAATCAAGTCACTGTTTATACTCTGCTCTGACTTAGACACTAATTGCTATCTTAGTCATTAGTGAAAGTCATCTTTTAGGCAGTTTATAGGGCATGTTCGCTCCAGCTTAAAAAACGCAAAAGCTAGGTTTCATACATATTTGGATAACTTACTTTTGAGTTGAGAAAGGTATTTATTTTGAAAGTAAAACTCATTATCAAAGCAAGTGACTTATTTCCAACTTTTGCCCATAAAATAATTGTTTATTTTGAAACTTATGTACTTGTATGTAAACTTTTGAAGCTTGGGCAAATACGTAATTCATATAAGATATTACTCTCCTCATCTCTCTATAAATCTATCTCACGTTTTCGTTACTGCCATATGCTATCCACAGACTAAGCTTGCTGACAAGCAAGCAGCTGTTGAAAAATTACAATGGGAAGCTGCGGCTTCTAACAAAAAGGTGGAGAAGCTCCAAGAAGATCTAGAAATGGTGCAAGGAGATCTTTCATCAATGATGTTATTAATTCAAGGCTTAACAAAGAGTGATGCCCTTTCTGCTGAAGACTATGAGGATGTCTCTTATCCTCTAGATGAGTTTGACATAGTAAGTAATTGATCACTCAAGGACTCTCTTTCTCTACCTTTCCCCATGAAATAATTCCCCAAAAATGATTCCTCTCTGTTATCTTCTGGATCAGAATTGTGATAGAGAGCATGTTTAAGCTTAAAAAGTTTACTTACGATGCCTTTTCGGTTAGAGCATGTTTGGCTTAGCTTAAAATGTTTACTTATAGATAAATAAATAAGTTTATTTTTTTCATCGATCATAATGGAAAATTCATAAGCTACTTATTTTGACAATAAGGTAACAGTTACTTTCCAAATAAGTAATTTTGTTGCTCAAAAATAAGAACTGTAAAACACCTGAACATGCTTGAAAACAAAAGGTAACTTCTATTTATTTTTAAGCTTAGCACACCATGCCCTGTCTATTGATGTTTACTGATTCTTTCTTAATTTATCTTCAATTGAAACTTCGTTATGCAGGATGATTTGAATGAAATTGAGATGCAGGAAATGGAGGCTGCAAGAGAAGCTTATGTTGCTGCTGTTACTGCTGCAAAAGTAGAGCAAGACGAAGGGTCTTTTGCTGCAGTTACCAGTGCTAGATTACGTCTGCAATCGTTAGTTATAAAACAAAAAATATAATTCCTCAGGTTTGTTACTGAAACATTTTTCAAATGGGCTTTACGGCCGCATTGTTGCATAGTGATTACAAGTAGAATCCTTTCTGGTTTCTCCTACAATTTGCGTTGGGGTAAATGGAATGGTATTTGAACTTTGTGGAGGTCTAATGCTATTCGTGTAACTAAATCTTTATCTCTCTCCATTCTACGCCTTTAATATATGGTAACTTTATTGTTTTCATTGTTTACCATCCTTTCGTCCTCTGCTGCTTGGGTGATCTAATTCAATGAGATTATCTGTTCCCGATTTCAAAAAAAAGGAAAGAAAAATTAGTGAATTTGATGAATATTAGATCTTTAATGCCAGCCTCATCTTTATACTCAGTTCCAAGAGTGTCACTACATAGTGAATAATTTTTGTTATTGAAAATTTCGTTGAAGAGATGCTTATCTTGAAAATTTTGGCCAAGTCGTGTTTCATGCTACGCATCGTAAATTATAGTTTATAGCATTAAACATGACTCGACAGTGTAATTTACAAAATTTTAGTTTATTTTCCGTTCTTGTAGCATTAAGTGCTATGCAATTCGTCCTATCGAATATGTAGACGAAACCTATAGTTGAGGTGGCACTACGCCTTTTCAATGTCTTCCTCAGTTGTTTGACTAAATATCTTTTTCATCTTTATACGCTGTATCCTTCCACTTCTATCGATAGGAGAGTCTTCAATATCCTCACCATAAATAAGCTGTTTCTTCAAGAAATTAAGTGGGAAATGTGAAAATAAGTTATTTTTGCTATCTTAAGGATGTTTATACTAGAAAAGGGTGGTGCTTAGGATAGAAAATTAAGCAGAAAATGGGAGCCAAACCTTTCTGTTAGTACCTCTTGAACTTCTACTTTAAGCATTTTGAACCTCATCAGAGTTTTCTCCATTCCATCATTTATATGGATTTCTCCATCTTCGCGAAAAATGAAGACGATTTAATCCTCTTCTGCAAACTGTGGCCAGCTCGAATCTGCATTTCCCTCTTTGACTTTTGTGTATTAACACTACTACATCGTGATGAATTTTGAACTGATTCTCCTTGATTGCATATTTCAGCGGTCAGCATCTTTGTCCTCGCCTTGTGGTTTCTATGGGGACATTTCACATTGATAACCACGCTTCCATTTGTAGTACTGAACTTTTCTGGTTCTTTATCTAAAATAGAACACAAGGATCCAGGGTTTATAATTTCAGTTATTTAAACTAGAAAAGGCAAGACTCGGAGGACGTGTTTGATGATATGTTGCATTATACTGGTCATGCTAATATATAAATTAGATTTAAACTCAATTTTCTTCCTTAGTACTGCTAAATACAGGAGTCTTAGAACATGACAACATCTTTTAAGATTCGACTAGGATGATCATGAGAAGAAGATTTCAAAAGATTCAGATTACCTAAAAGAAACTGGCACGCATAAAAACACGAGGCCAGATTGGTTAGACGCCAACCAACAATTATCGTCATTGTAATAGCGAGTTCATCCCTTAGTGTTTTTGTGGGTGGCGGCAGCGGTGGTGGTGGAGAGAGCGCAAACTCCAAGAGATAGTAGTAGAATTTGAATTTGAATTTAAAAATAGGGGAAACGAGGCTTGAACATGAGAGTTATATTCACTTTAGATTTCGCAACATAATAATGGGAGTTCAATACAAGCCCATTCAAAACAGTTTGAGTAAGCTCTGGTCGTTAGGACTGGACGATTTAAATAGAAAAGACAACCTCACTCATTTTTCTTTTCATCCAAGGGAACATGAAAGTGGATTGCAAGACATGAAAGTGGATTGAAACCATCCAACATAAACTATTAGGACACATTTGACTATATAAGCTAAAAGACTACGACTACAAGACAGGTCGAAAGCGACTGGCTTCTATGAATAAGGCAGTACAATCAACAGAACATTAATTTATGGACCATGTTACATTCACACAACCATTTATACAATGGTTTACACACTCGAAACTTGACCAGCCGCCCCTCCAATAGGGGACGGCCAAGTGTCAAGTGTGTAAAAAATTGCGTAAATGGTTGTGTACAAATAGTTTTATCCTTTTTATCCTTAATTTATATTTACTCTTCAATACTGTCTCGTGTTTTCATAACGAATTGATACTCAAACAAAAGAAAGAACCCAACACAAGAATTGAAGTGCTTAGAACCATTGATACTACAATTTGCAGAAGGGCAGAATCTCATCAGCCAAAAATGAAATCCCTTACAACCTTTACCTGATACATGTTTACTTTCTACTGTGTATAACAAATTCTCCTTCCAAGATAAATAAATAAATAGATTGTCAAAATTTTCTACTTCTGAAACTGTATTAATGCAATGATAATTCTACGAAATAAATAAGCGGTCAAATAGCTGCCCGCAACCTGAAAGTATCATATATATTAACTGGTGAAACAATCATGCAGATACTGGTGAGTCTGATCCAGATAATGTTCCCATAGAGCCTTATATCTGCCTACTCCTAACTTTAGCCATGGCTTCATGTTACCGTTAAAATGTATCACGGCTGCAGTCTCGATCAGACGGTTATCGATGTTCAGATCATAACCCAATCCTAAGACGTGCCATCTCCGATCAAGTGGCTCTGTCAATCCATAAAATGCTAAAAATCCGGGAGGAAGAGTGCCGAGCTTCCATAGTGATCCGTCAGCATTTCGTTCCTGCCAATAATGATAACGTGCAGTCACATTTTCCTTTCTCCAAGCAATCAGATCAAAAACATTCATCCCAAATGCCCATCCGCATGCCTGAGGATCAAATTTGGTGCTGATAATTGGGTTCGAAAAATTGAGATACTTGTAAAAACGGTGAAAGGATTCAAGACAAGTTTCGACAGCCCCATTCACATTACCATGCAAATCCAATGAAAAGAGTGAGGTCAAATCCTTCTGAACAACAACATCGTCATCCAGAAAAACTACCTTCTCGAGCTGAGGATAAATCTCCGGGATGTAAAATCGCAGGTGATTCAACAGAGAGACGTACTTAGGATTACGTAACTTCGGTTCAAGACTCATTTCCTTCTTCCTCTCAAAGTAGTATCTCCGTAAATCTTCATCATTTATCTGTTTTAAAACCGGAGAGTAAGATGCATTCAACCACGTGAAATCTTCAATATTTTGGACTTCTACTGTAGCCCCTTTGAAATCGTTACCAAGGAACCAAGCTTGCATTGCCCCGTATTTCACTCCATTCGTTACAATGTGGAATACAAACTGCTTGGGATGATCAGCATTAGAAATAGTAGAATTCACAACAACTGAAACAGCCAGAAGGTTATCTGAAAATAAGCAGAAATGGTAAAGATTATTATCGACTAGTCGCGGAGAGTTCCCCCTCTCATCAGCAAGTTCCCGTAGTGAATTTTTCTCAAGCCAAACGGCAGTGAGTTTAATGTCAATACACTGAAGGTTCTTCGGCACTGATTCTGCAGCAAATTGACCAAAAACCGTACTCTGAACAGTCGCTGCATTGGCACGTTCTTCAAGCGCTTGAATATGTGATTTCATTGTAATCATAGTGGTTGCAATATCATAATGAGCATCTTGAGCCTTAAAAATGAGGGATGAGAAACTTTTAATCATTGGGCCGGCTTCATCCAATGATACTGGCTCGTTCTTCATTGCTGCCTTTGAAAGAAGAGATTGACAACTTCTTATTTTTGAACTAAGCTCCCAAGCAAGATGAAAATTGTTATGCTCCTTTGCAATAATCACATAAGCTTTGGCAAGGGTCATTTGCTCTGCTAATTGTCTGGCGTATGATCGAACACCTAAAATTTCTTCAGTTAAATTTAAATGCTTGTGAACAACCCTTTCATTTTTGGTATTCGTCTCCTGGCATAGAGATGACTATGTTAAAGAATGATAAACAATCAAAGCCAGTAGAAAATCACAGGTATATAAAGATACATGAAACCATGCCAGTCTAGTGTTTAAAGCATCATGACGAGTAATCATGATAACAATGAAATAGATCCACAAAGCTACAAACATTGCCTCTTGAAGTGATGCATAAATATCTCGGATTTTACTAATGCTAATTTATGTTTTGAGAAAGATCTGTGTTATAAAGATATTATCACCAAATAGATTTATTGTATGATAAATGAAATTTAGATAAATCATATTTTTTGGTATTTTTCTCTTAGCAAAGAGATTTTATTGCACACTTAACGTCACTAATAAGGGAAATTGGTCAAGAAAATGTTTGGACCCAACATTGGAAGAGCTAAACTGTAAATTCACTGCCTTCAGAGGCATCTTCAATGCATTATCTGTGGAAATTTTTTTCCAGTTTTAACTACTTCAGCATCAAAATCTACCAGATACTCTCTTCCAGCGTAGTACTATTTCTTTTTGTTGGTTAACCAGGAATATATTCTGGTGCTCATTCATCTAAATGGGTTAATCCAGCCTTAGAAACTTAACAAATATCTTCATCAACTTTGTTCAGATGGGAATCTGACTAGAAACTTCAATTTTCTTCAATGTTGAAAGATACATCAGCTTTATCATGAATCTACAGCCTGAGTAGAAGAATGATTATACTTATCCTGTTTTAAAGCTGCAACCCTCAATTCCAACCGCACCATCTATAAAGTTAGGTATCTAAAATGGAATTTGCTCTACTGATTCCTGGTCTGCATCTTTATGATGTAGACAACCTTCTGAGTAATCCATGTCTTCTTATCAACTCCAGCCTTGGCGAAAACCTTGGTTTCATAAGAATTGTCAACAACTTGGCTTTGGAAATTCAAAGTATCTTTCCCCTTTTTCAGTTAATAACACAAAGAACACTGCAATATCCAGTGGGAAAACTCTGAAATGTGAGAAGGTGTTACAAAAAGATGACATAATTTGAAGAGATGATGACCGAAACTCTAATATTTTAATACAAGCAGATGGAGGATGAATGGGAACTTTCCTTTCCTTTCCTTCTTCTCCCTTTCGCAAGTGTTAGTTACAAGAAAAATATGTTCTCCTCTTCTTTAAAGTCTTCTTTAGTTTCTTAGAAATAATGACAAAATTACACATTATTTTTACAATATTCATGAGTTCTCAATAGGTCGGGACAAAAGCAAGTTAAAATCACACACTCTCAAGGAAAATATTGTCGAAACCTCTGCCTCCAGGGAAGAAGCTAATCAATGAAGCAAAAGAAGAATCAACTGTCTTCACCCAGGTGAATATAATGTAACTAATTAAACTAGAAGGATCTTGCTTCTGTATCTTACAGGACTTCTCTCTTTTGTATGCTCAAACATCTGCCCTTAATATCTCTTGTATTACATTACAATGGTAACCATATCCAGACTTCTGATTGACAACAAGATCCAAGGTTAAAGGGGCCAGTCTATAGTGATAGACCTGTTTTGCTTTATGATACTGAGAACTATTAAGGGACACAATGCACATTAGACGAATGTAGCGGAAATGATAATGCTAACAAGTATGTAGTAAAATGATAGAATAAGAAATTAGCATAGTGGGGTAGCGCGGACTGAGGATAAACTGAGGGAAGGACGATTTAGGTCATGGTGATATGTTGCATGAGGATCTAGAGAGGCTCTGGCTCATAAGAGTGGCATGATCTCAGTAAAACGTGTAAACAAGAGAGGATTAGACCAAAAATAACATGGCATCTGGTAGTTACTAAGAATCTAGTTACTCTAGATCATCTTATAAATCTAACATTGAGCAAAAAAGAATGGCAAAAAAGGATTTGTGTAGCCGACCGTAAATTTATTCCCATAAAGAGGTTTAGTTGTTAAATTTTGCAAACAATGACAAGGGGCACCTCATAGAAAAAACTGTGTATTTACATTTCAATAAGCTTAGATAACAAACTCAGAAAACTGACTCCAGCAAATGTCTTCTGGCCACTATTTATCTAAAATATAAGCAACACAGATAAAAGCACTTCATTGTTGTACATGATGCACCACTCATTCACTTCATGCCATGATGCTTCTGGTCAACAACCAGTATCAACGTGTCCACACAAGTTTTCTGTACATGCATATTCAATTCAATCTACATAGTTAAGGAGACAGCTAAAAAAGGCTCCTGATACTGGACGACAAAGTCTATATGCTTATGTATTGCAGTAGGAGTTCCGTGTAACATCTGAAGCATTTCCAGCCCTAAATTTATACAAAACCTAAAACATTACCAACCCGAAAGTTCTATTAAGCCTGAAGCATTGTTGACCTCAAATTTATATAACGCCTTACAGTCTCAATAAGACTTCATCTTGAACAAATGTCCATTTTTTATTTTATTTTTTTAATTTTAATTTCCATCCATTCCATGACCAGAGTTGGGAAGAGTTGTATATGGATTGATTCATGGTCCTTGGACGCCAAATACGAAGACCTGTAGCGATATTGAAATGAATGGTTTTACCAACCTTGGTGCCAAAGTGTTCAAACCTTGATGAATATGTAAATATCGAAACTAACAATTAGGCAGTGCTACCTCTGTGATCATGATTATAACACAACGTAAGTAGTAGTCCACAAGATATCTTTGAGTTCTTAACAACGCCCCAAAGACTCGTTGACATCTCCGCTTCCAGAAACCTCCAGACAGCTGATTGCATTAATGTTTACAGAATCAATCTAAGATTTCCTATTTTTGCTCCAACTACAACTAAAACATAATATAAATAACGAGGCTACATTCCATCTTACGAGAAACATCCCACGGTGAGAAACAACGGCAAATATTATGAGAAACATCCCACGTTGTCGCAGTGATAATTACAGAAGAACCAACTTTGCAGATCATGGAAATATTGCTATGAACCCCAAACAACGAAAACAAAAGATTAGTATCTATTCGAACATTGCAGAATGCAGCATCTAAAGGCTAGAAATGTTCCCTAGTATCTTATTTTAGATATTTATTAGGGAGTTTTTCTACTCCATTAAATACGTAAAACATTCAACCCAAAATGGAAATAGTCTATACACAATCTAGGCAAGATTAAAGCAAAATAATAAGGAACACAATGCAAACAGGAAATAATTTGGCTCTATACTTACTAAAGCAGTCTGCTCCACATGATCCTCCTGGTGCTGATTATGATGAAGAACAAACAAGGCAAAACCTGCAACTGAGAATATCACAAGAAGCCCCCAGATCCAACATGAAAACCTCCTTCGAACCGGGCGCCGGTAATCGGCCGCCCGTCGCCGCATCTTTCACCCGTGTCTTCCACTGTTCAGTACCAATTCAATAATCTAAGACTGCCCATCGCTCGGATTGGATCAAACCAACAAAAAGATGTCTTTTACCACAAATCAAAATTTTGAGACGACCCACCCATTAATTCACACTCGAAATCTAGAATCAGAAGGAAAATCCATACACAAGATCGGATCAAGAAAGCCAGCAAAAAAAAAAAGGAGTGCCTCCCTATATTGACCTATGCAGTACAAAATGTCAGTATGACATTGACCACTAAAACAAAATAGTAAGGAAAAATGCATACGCTATCTGCCTATTTTTATTTTTTTTGGGGGGAATTAGAAAGGCTTCGAAGGGCTAAAAAAAATAAATCGAAGGGCTATAAAAAAAAAAAAAATAAATAAAAAATGGTTGAACTCCAATCCCCATCGTTCCGCCTCTAAAACATCGTGAGGGAGTTAAATCGCTGGGTATGTCACAGTAGGCAAGGGAACAAGAAATTGTTTGCACACTGTTGTCTACAAAGAGTCCATTTTCACATATCAGGAATCGAACTCTCACACTGCGACTGTTAGTAAGGCTGAGAATATCTCACTACTGTCCTTTGCACCATTAGGTTATTCCCCGAGAGACAAGGTTTCAAAGGGCTAATTATACGAATGGTTGCTAAATTTTGTCATATATTATTACTTAACAATTAAATTTAAAAATATATTTTAATGATCATTGAGCTTTGCGCGCTATGTGTTACTATTTCATAACTGAATTCAAAAATATATTCCAATAATTAATGAACAATGTACTGTGTTACCTATCTATCACTCGAAAGGAAAAATTCGTTAAGTTCAACAAACGGCGTCGACTTAAGTGATGGATTGATAACACGGTGTATAGTTTGGTGACCATTGAGATACGTTTTTTAATTCGATTATGAAGTAATAACACTTGACAAAGTTCAATGATGATTGACATACAGCTTTTAAATTTTGTTATTAAGTAGTAACAATTTCTTTTTTCTTCGAATCAACATTTATGAAAGAAGAAGCTAAAGAAAATGAAGGGGAAAAGGTTGAAATATCAAATCGACCTCAATTACATTAGCACTAATTCACACACACATTCTCTGTGATTTTATAGTGTTCCCATTGTTTTTCTTTCAATTTTTTATGCGAAGTTCGAGATACGATGAACTGATACCAGTTATTCTAAAAATCAAACGTACTTTTCATCGTGATGGAGACTATATATCGAATAAAAATAGAACTTTTTTCCTTCTTTAATTTCTTCTTTCACAGAGATAGATTTGAAGAAAAAGAAATTGTTACTACTTAATAATCAATCTTAAAAATATATTTCAATGGTTACAAAACTTCTTCAAGTATGACTACTTCATAACTGAACTCAAACATGTATCTCAATGATCACTGAATTATGTATCGTGCTACTCATCCATCACTTAAGTCAATGCCGTTTGTTAACGAACTTTTCCCTTTGAGTGATGGATGAGTAAGGTGGTGCACAGTTCAATGATTATTGATATACACTTTTAAATTCAATTATGAAGCAGCAACACTTGACGAAGTTTAATGACCACTGAGATACATTTTTAAGTTCAAATATTAAATAATAACATATGGCAAAGTTCAATAAACATTCATGTAGTTAACTCAATTTTGAATGTGAAAAAACTATCACGAGCAAACGAAGTGTCAGCTTTTCATACGAAGAGGGAAAAATGTGAGCAGCTGCCCCTATTTACATTCACAAAAATTATATATCTATTGTTTTTTATATCTCTATCCTTATTGACATTTTAGAATTTTAAAAAAAAATACTAAGGTAATTATATTATTAGTACAAATATTGTTAAGTACATCACAAATTTTAATATTTTTTGTATTTAATTAAATAACCTTAAAAGTAAAATTACATAATTGGAGTTATAATAAAGCTTTTGATAAAATAAATTATTGTTCCTCCACAAGCATAAACATATTTTTTTCTTTCCAATTTTTTTCCAGTGCCATGGCAGCCCAAAACTCGACGTTTTAAACATAGTTATCAATTGAAGACATGAACCTAAGTTCAATAACCAAAAACTCGACATGTTAAACTTAGTTACCAATAAAAGACATGGATCTAAATTTAATGACCATTGAAACAATTAACTCACCATGGAACGTAAAATGTGATACCGTTGGAGGCAAATTCAGTATAGAAGTGACCACATGCCTGACACTCGATGACAAGTCCTAATAACAGCTTTGATATCAGTTCTACGTCTAGTTCCGGTTCAGTACTTAATTCTACATAGGGATTCGATTTGTGGGCAAACTTCTTGTATGGGATTCATAATATCATGCAAGATTGAAGGCAGCAAACCGACAGCCAAAATTTGGGTGCAGAAGATGTTCCATGTTTTGTGGCATCAACGGCTGCAATTGATTTAAGCATGAATGCTTGTAGATTTTTTTCTCATAAGCAATGGAAGGAATCGAATTGAGCCAACCAGATCGAGTATAATACCATGGGAGCTGTTTTAAATTCTTGGATTTGCATTGAACTAAAAGCATGCTAAAGCATTTTTATTTATTTATTTATTTTTTGGGTTTGATTTGTGGCTTGAAGCTTTGAATACGGGCATTTAACATGTGAATAAAAATCTAGAATGGATGGAAAGGATGAAAAAAATGAGTAGTAATATTGGGATGATGAGTACACCACAATACTATTTTTTTTTCCCATTCTTAGTTTTATTGGATTAAGTGTATAATTATAAATTTGATGTGGTGTATTTATCGAATATATATTTTATTTTTGGTGTTATTATAATGTGGCGCAGTAAGTAAAATTTGTAATGGTAATATAATTACCCAAAATACTATTTTCATCCGGTCACATTTCAATATTATCCTTGTTAAATTCATCAATTTAAACACTAGACATCCACACTATTTTTATATGTCTATCACATCACAATTTATTCAAGCGTCTAGGAAGGCAGTTTCTTCAGACCTTTCTTGATTAGCCTCATCACCACCAGCAGCATTAGCAATTGCTTGTCGGATAACACCATAAAGGTCATATATGAAAGCCACAGCAAAGTGGAGACGAGTGAATTGGCAAGCCCAGCATCTATAAGCACTAGTGAGTGTTGGAAATATGGAAGTGATGAAAAATAGACAAAAGAAACATGGCAACAAGATGAAATGGAATCAGAAAATTGTCAAGAACAATTTTGAAGGCTCGAACGCTGGATCGCTGTTCTCAAGTGTTATTTGCTCATTCTCCTATGTTTTCAAGATGATTAAAAGGTATTTCGACAAATGGTTTGAAGGATTATAACAAGCCTTGTTGTGGAAAATAACAAAGCACAAGAAATTTTCCACAAAACTTTGAAGAACACGATAAGAAAATGAATATGAAATAAGAACAAGAATTTGATCTTTTGATTGTTGAATTGGAATGAATTTCAAGTGTAATTTTATTATTTTTTTCTTGGATCATGGCTCCTCTATATATAGACCACGACTAGAGATGTGAAATGGTACCAAAATACAAGTGAAAGGTCACTAAAATAAAAAATCAAACGTTCAAAAAACGGCCCTCAACGGTAAAAAAATATGTACTATGCGACCGCATGGTACAAATCCATGTGGTCACATGGTTTATGCAAGTCAACGCCAAAGGCCTCGGTATATGGTCATGCGATCGCATGATTGATCCTACTTGCCAGGGTTTGATTTTTAAGCCATCTTTTCATTTCATGCACTATGCTTTATTGATTTTGAATAACAAATCTCAACAGTGAGGGCGTAGTTGGTCTTGTGTGTGAACTTGTCCAGATTCATTGCAAAATTTGTTCTTCGAAAATATCAGAGTCAATAATATATTCATTAGGAACACAACCCAATGAAGAAATATACCCTAGAAATCATTGAGAAAAGGGTTAAAATATTTCTTTCTCAATTTTCCCAACATTTGAAGGATTACATTTTCAAACGCAATAAATTCAAAATTGGTGCAAAAGAGTGATCTTCCTAATCCCTTACATTGTTGCAAAATCAAAATGCAACAACAAACAAATAATTATGAAAATTCAGCAATTTAACATGATATATGGTTTAATTGTAAGAAGAAATGTTTCATTTTGAATTCAAAACAATGTAATAATTTATGCTTCGATTTACAGATGAAATTGAACAGAGATTCAACAGATTTAAGGGGAAAAATGAAAATCCCAACAATTTTCTTCAAAATAATAGCAGTGGACGAATTCAGAGTGATATATTTCTACTTAATTATATATATATGTTTATTGAAGTAAATTTATACAAGATTAAAAATATAATAAAAATTTCTTTTTAAGAGTGGATATATTTATAAATTCTACGAATGTAAATAGTAACTGATGTTCTCTTTGTTTGTGGAGAAGGGAGCAATTTGGGCAAAGAATAAATGTAATCAACGAGTACTCATTCATCTTTAGTATTGTCACTACTTACTAACTTATATTTAACAACTTATCTAATGTTTACTCATTTTTTCATATAATTACCTATCCACCACTCATCTACAATATATTAAGAGAGTGGATTGAGGATAAATTTTTGAATACCAATTTTACCCTTATATATAATATAGTGCTATTTAATATAATTTAACTTCATTTAATTTCCATTGAATTGTAATACTTATTGTTTTATATTGAAGTACTTAGAATTTTACATTAATCAAATTAAATTCAATTACTTAAATTACATTAATTAAATTAAGCGTACTACTTAAAATCAAAGTTCACATATATAGAAGTAATTTTATTATAATTATATAATCTAATATAATATATTAAATGTTGCATTAATATAATGGTAGGTTAATTACAATATAAAATAATTTATGTAGACGAGTTTCGATTTTAAGTGATTAAACTTAATTTAATTAATATAAAATTATGGGTACTCAATATGAAAATGAACTCTATACTTAAAAGAAGACCACATAAAATTAAATTGTAATTAATCTATCAATTAATATCACCTTTAATATATTATAATATTATTCCATATGTGCATGTATATATATTATATTATTTATTATTTATATACGCGAGCTTCATCTAAAATCAACGTTCATTTACTTATATAATTATATTATTATAATCACAATATATATAAAAATAAAATTTGGAGATAGATGAGAAACGTTCAATTTATCAATTTTCATTATATAACATTATCCACATTTTCATCCAAAGATTGTAAATTGTAAGTTTAATTAATATAACAGATAATATAACTATTTAAATACAAAAGACAGTAAATTGAAAAGAAAAAATTTGTTTAAATGTAATAAATAATTAGGAAGGAAAGAACCGAAGATGGAAGATATTATCCATCAATCTTAAAAAACATTACTAATTACTCATAATAATATTATGAGTTACTATTTCTATTTTTGTATCTACTCCGCTAAATACAAGCATCGCATATCAATTATACATTTTTCAGTAAAATCAAAATTTTGAGTATTGATAAAAATTATTATTATGTGTTCTAAAAAATAATTAATATAGTATTGAGTATTTTATTAATTATTGCATGTTCATTTTTGTATAAACATGAAAATTGATGGTAATTCGGTTACTTATTAGATATAAATATATAAAGAAAAGAAAAATATTTTTATCTCAATACATTTAAAATAAATTTTTTTGTTTATCCATTTGTATTAATCCTATTTAGGTAAGATACTTTTTTATTTTTATTTTTTAACGTGAACAAGTTTATATTATAGACAAACAAAGATTTTTTCTTTTTCAATCATTTATGTACATTTAGGAGGCGTTTGTTTCTCATTTTTGTAAAAATAAGAATAAAAAATATAACCATTATGGGCTCCACACAAGAGATAGAAATTCAAATTTGGTGGTTTGATGTGATGGATAACAATCATATTTTTCATTTTAATGGGGAAATAATTGGAAACAAATAGGGGCTTAATTTACTTATAAGTAAACTTTTAAAATTAGTCAAATGTACATCTCTTAATTCGATTATTCTTCGTGTTTGTCTGTACTACAAAGTTTATCAATGTCGCTAAAATGGTGGCATAAACAAATAAGTAAACACACGTAATCTCATAAACTTTTATTCACACACACAAACATATATCTGACAAGTTTAATTTTTTCCTTAACATTATTAATTATCTAACTTTATAAATATTATGCATATCATTCATTCTGTATATAAGACGTGCAATGCACGTATTTACTAATAGCATTCCAAATGGATAGAAAATGCATGTGGAAAACAGATACGTAGCAAAAATATTCTATTAAATCTTGACAACTTGGAATGGATCCCACAACGTTCAAATCCAAATTCACTTTTCAACCCATTTTCATGACATTTCTCTTCAACTGGAAGTTTTTGATGTTTGTAGGAATGTTTTCTCACAGTTGAACAGGCTTGATGGAAATATACGGTTGGAATTGAATGGCTTGAAGTTTAGCAGGTTTGATGAAAGTATACCAGTTGGAATTGCTGACTTGAAGGGTCTTTATGTTCATACGATGAGCAAAATAACTCTATAGATGGGACAATTTTTTTGGAGTTTGGGAATATTGAATGGCTTGAAGTTCTGAATTTGTACAATCTCAAGCGCAGTGGTGAAATCCCAATAGAGAAGCAATTATCGATTTCTTCTCGAACTATGAGTTCAATAACCATATCCTTCTTATTGTGTTCATATCAATGTTTTTTAATTGTTAAAACCTCTCCACATTTGCATAAACAACTACCTTAATATTTGAAGGAATTTCGTTTTTTTACAATTTCTATTGCACTATATCTTGTACCAGAGCTATCAAAAGTTGAATCCCCAATCTTGGTAGCTACAATAGTGCATCTCTAACTCGAGATTACCAATTCCTAAGTTCAGGCCTAAATATAATGGCCTCAATCCACTCATAGGACTGATTAACGAATATAAGATCCCAATTTGAAACTACTTGGCCTCTAACTTTTCATTCGAGACATCATGATATTCGGCTTCTACTATTAGTGCACGAATAGCTCTGGGATCCGTCTATTTAAATGTTGAAAGTTAATTTTGTTCAAAAGAAATCGTTCTCCTGTCCACATTGGGCATGATAATACTGTTCATTTGTTGATGTGACAGGAGAACCTTAAATAATGCGACTCCAAAATGGACAAAATAAGACTTTTTACTATCAACTGGAGAACAAAAGTGCTTGTTCAAAAGCTTAAATGATAAAATAAAACAAGCAGAAACCGAGGAAAAAAAGGGAACAAAGCATTCCACAAATTTGGTTTTCTATGATATCCAAAAGATAACGTTTAAAGAAACATAAAATTCATGTCATTCACACGAGAAAATATTTATCTCACTTACACTCAGATTAACCTTTTGTACAGTCGAGTCCAATTACTAAATTGTCATGACTCTCACTACAACCAATGCATTCTAGAATGTTTTGCATCTACTCTATAAATAGAGCATGTAGAGGGAAAAAGAAAAATAGATTTGGAAAATTGTTAGCTTGCACTAGAAATTCTATCGTCCATCTTCAAAACATTCTATAGAACCATCTTTTGCGCTCCTGTTTAGCCTCATATTTTAAAATTTATTTTCAATCACACATTTTAAGGGATCCAAAATTTGCATTAACTTTTTAATCACTCGTTTTATCAACTTTATTAAAATTTACTAAAAATATAATTTTTTGCAAAATTTAGTAGGGGCATATCTTGGTGGAAAGTTGACTATATTATCCCAAGACTTGTCATCAAGAATCATTTAAAATATGATCGTCATTTTTGTCTTTTGATTAATCCCTATTTGTTCCTTCGTGTGTCCAACATATAAAGAATCATCAGGTGGCTCTATCATCACGCCATTATAAGTACTGAATTGTTTCTTGTTTTGAACTCTCTCTGGGCCGGTTTGACTTATTGTAGGGGGGAAAAAATGAATAGTGAATTTTAAAAGGATGTGTGGTTAAAAGTAATAAAAAAAATTGTTTTAAACGTATAGAATATTGATTGGGTGATTGTGCGATTAAAAATAATCTTATAATAATATAAAATAAATTAAAGCGTTTCAAACAAGCACTAAAATTAAATCAGTAAATTATAGATGATGCTTGTAATGAAACTATTTTGCAGTCGCAGGTTTGGTCACGAAACTTCCAATTGGACCCACCCACTCCCTTTTAATTTGTCGGTTGAGCCAATTCAACTTCAAGTTACTCTGTTATAAAACTCTCAATCCTACGTAAATAGTAAAATTTGACTGTAGTCCGACATGTTATAAATTTTCAAGAAAAATGTCGTTTAATTAAGTCGATGATTTGGCAACAGGCGGTTGAATTGAAAATTTTGCAGCCGAGACATCGCACATTTGCCTGGAATAGTAAGACATTCAAACGTGCTACAAAACCCGGGATTAAATTCTTGGTTTGGATCGCCACCTCGGCCCTCGATCTTGCAGCACATGGAGTCCGCAATTTCAAATCAGGGGTCGAGGTCACGCCACTTTTGCCCCTGGCTCCAAACCTGGGATTTAATCCCCAGATGAGGAGCATTATTCAATTCTCTTTGTCGTGGTTAAAATTGAAAGTAAACTGAAATATCACTAAAAGTTCATTAAGAAAAAAATGAAATTAACCCCCATCTTTGAGGATCTACTTGCCTGCCTATTGTTATTTGGAAAGAAATTCAAGAGTGAGTTTGTCTCATTTGATAAATAGTCACTCTCACAAAGTATTAATTGGTCATATAAACCCATCGAGATTTCAAAAGGAATACAACCAGTTCCAATTCAAATAGTTTGAGAATAGTCGTACAAACTCAGCATTTCATTGGATATTCAGTCTAGAAGTTCGCTGAACCCTTAATCCTATTGATGTTCATTTTTGTTAAATGTTTTTTGACTTTGATATCATAAATCCTTAGGATTAATAGATAAAGTGGTAAAATCAAGCTCCAAAATCATACTGAATATAAGAAAAATCAACTTAACATCTCTTGAAAAAAATGCTACCACTTTTGAAGTCGATTACCAATAAATGATTCCCAGTGCAACAAAACAAAACAATATATAAATAATAATTCAAGTTCTGATCCTCAGAAAACAAGCTAATAATCTCAGGAATGGATACCTAATTTATCTGTCAAAAAGAGAACAGCAACACTAGCAGTTGTATTCGTCTATTTGGCAGAGCCACTGGGTACTCCACTCGAGCTTGCAGCCGATGGGTTCATCTCATCCCAAGCTTCGATCCAGGTCACCATTGCATCGGCAAGCTTGTTGAAGTAATCGTCAACCTTGCCAAGTTTTGCCTTGACTTGTTTGGAGAGTTCAAGGTAACATTTTTGAACGGTGTTGGCATCCTTGGAAAGAGTTGCAGATTGGAAAAATGGAATCAGTTCTTCTTGCCAGTAGATACCTTTGTATTCCTTCTTAAGATTCACAAATGGATTGCTGGCTTTGCTGTGCCAAATGTATGGCAGGCCTGTCTTGATTCCTAATCCCAAGTGGTCACAGATCACCTATGGAGAAAAAAAAACAGTTAACACACGAATAGAGCAGGAGTTTCAGTGACCCTCGAGAAATTGTAAGATGAAAATAGAAATACCTTGGTGCACCAGCCAGCCCACATGTCGTCATAGCGCCCAATCGGCTGGCCATCACCCATGAGCCCAAAGTACATGGCTGGGCCAATTAGTTCCCGGTCGAAAGCAAGGTTCATGCCACACATTGGGAACAGGGTTCCCTTTGGAATAGTCATAACTGCATCAACAAACCTGAAATATAACACGACAAGTATGAATCAGTACCTAAAACCCAGATGAAACTGCCGAAAAATATGAAAACGAGGTGTGTACCTCGTGTTCCTCTCACGAGGCTTAACGAGCTGGGTTGGTGCATCGTAATCTGGGATGTTAAGCCAAAGTCCATGCGACACTGCTGTTGGTGCACCTTCACGAAGACTAAATGGGTATCCACGGACAAAATCTGCACCTTCTCTGTAGGGATCATAAAGGGTATTGAAGAAAAATGGCGTCGAAGGGGTCAGAAGGTTTTTAATGTGCTGCTCGAGAGCATTAATTTCCTTGCCGGTTGGATCTTTTGCAACCTGTGCATCGAAAGAGATTTCAAAGATCACAACTATAGAAATGGTCCCCAGCATCAAACAGCCAAAAGTTCCGGCATATCTCAGCAAAGTCTACCAGTACTATCCATTTAAGTGAGTACAGTGAATCTTAATCATATTCTTTAAACAATGTTCGAAACTTAAACCAAAATTGTTGTACTGCTTACAGTCAGGGAAATTAATCTTGATAATGCATGTCGGACGCAAATAATTTTTTTACAGGACAAAGTCCAGTTAAATTTGATGAAGGAGAAAAAAGGAAAGAAATCTTAAGGGAAATTTTGAAAGGATATGAAGAACCATTTTTGATAATCTGATTGCACTTTCCTTTTAAAGACAGTTTTGCGGAAACATACATATAAGAAGGAAGAATCTATGGCTGAGCTCTCGAGAAGAACTTTATGAAAATAGACATTAATGACCAAATCCTAAATTTGAGACAGAAAAAACAAAAACAATGCTACAAACTAGAAATCTCTTCTTTTGAAAAAAGAAAATAAAAATCCCATAAAATTGTAGAGATTTGAAAATCCGATCCCATTATCTCGACGAAAACAAAAATTTCACATTTTGAACTACATCAAACATAAATTTTCACAAAAAAGTGAAAAAAATAAAATAAAATCATAGGAGGTCCCACGTCATAATCCAATCTTTTACTCAAAAGTCGCCATAACACCACGAATCAAAATCGCATATTCGACCGGGGGGGGGATCGACAGATCAACGATTATAAAACATAACAATGCACAAGAAAAGGATGAAATTCGACAATATTCAAGGACTTGAAAACCCGGTCCCGTGATCTCAAAGTAAAAATTCACAGCAAATATTCAAAAATGTAACTTTGAACCAAAAAGCAAGAAATTTCTTTGGAAAATTAAAAACAGCTCATAATCCAATCTTTGACGCCAAAAGTTGTAGAACACCACGAGTCAAAAACAGATCTTCCAAAAAAAATTAAACATATCAACCACTATAAAACATAACAATGCACAACAAAAAGAACAACACATCCAGATCAAATCTTAAAAATAAAATAAAATAACTGGAAATTTTTTTAGAAAATGGAGTAGAATCTTACAAAGCAATCATCATCAATAGTGAAGATGTACTTCTTCTTGGAGACCATGTACCCAAAGCAACGGCAAGCAGAATCCTTGAAGGAAATGCAGGAGGCCTTGGGGCCCAGAATTTTGTTAATATCATTTCGGTTATAGAGTTCATAATCGAAACCCTCGGGAACTTTGATGGTTTTTGAGGGATCTCCGTCTTGTACAATGATCAGATGGTATGGCTGGAAAAATGGCCTCCACATTTCGAGGAAATCGAGGTTTCTGATGGTGGGGATTACTATGTCTAACTCATCTTTCAACGGCGGGGATGATTTTGAGATATCTGTCGTTGCCATTGCAGATTTTTCTTGCGGTTTCTGGGTTTTGGGCAAGATCTAGGAAGGCAGAGGAATTAGATCTGGGGAGGTCAAGGGGCGAATTTGTAGCTGAATTTTGAGGAGAGGGGAGGGAGTGATGAGTTGCGTTGAATGTGAAACTCTTGTGTAAAGAAGGCGCGGGGTGGCACCGGCGGCACGTGAGACAACAGGTGGAGAGAGGGTTTTTTTCAAGAAGAAATGAAAATTTATCTTCCATTTTCAAGAGGAATTATTTCCTAGACAATGAAAAAAAAAAAAAAAAGAAAGTCCGATTAAGGATTTATTTAATCCCTTTTTTTTATAAAATTAAATTTAATAATAGTAATTTTTTCAAAAAATATATGATTAATAAGAAGAAATTATTTTATTTAAAAAATATGTGATTAAAAATAAATTTGAAGAAAATAAATTTTTAAAGAATGTGATTCAATTGGTGCTAATTCGACTTAAAATGTAGTAATGTGGAGGTGCAAACACAAAATAGAATATGTGCATGTTCGGTAGTAATTTTGAAAATTGATTTTTTGACCGTTAAGAGAAAAGTGTGAGCTATTTATGAGAGAAGAAGTCAAAAATTATAATTGAAATAGTGAAATAACAATCAGAAAATAATTTTTTGATATGAAAAATCGCTCTCAAACAAGGCCTAAGTAAAATTTGTGCAAAAAAATTACTTTTTTTTAACCACCAAAGTCGACCCTAGAACTGTAGTAAATATTAATAGTCTTTTCTTTGCGGTTGAATTTTGGACCTCCATATCCAGTTAAATGTTGGGTTTTAGTATAAAATTGCAAGTTATTCCATTATTAATAAAATCTATACTTCTAGTAGGATTTCCCACTTAATTTAACTTTTTAACATTTAAATAAAGAATAAGAGATCATTAATTTTTGGTATAAAAGCAATGTAGCCAAAATCGGACCTGAGTGAATTGGTTGGTTTTGAACCAAAAAAAATCGAAAATCGAATCAATTACGTAAAAAAATCGTAAAATTTAGAAACTATTAAAAAAAGACAACAATCTACTAGTAGCTCAAAATTTTAGTTTTTTATTTGCTTATTTTCTTATTATTGGCTCGAACTCGATTGACTCTAATTCAAACCTTCACATTTGACCTTTTTATTTATATGTTGATATTTAGAATCGCTACTAATTGACGTTCATCCTACATGATTGAATAGAAAAAAGGATTATTCATCCCTAATTTTAAGACATGGAGTCAACTATCATCTAAATTAGAGCCCGTTTGTTACATATTAATGTAAAAATGAGAATGAAAAATATAATCATTATGGATCTCATATAAGAGATAAAAATTTAAATTTGATAATTTGATATGATAAATAATGATCATATTTTTTATTTTAATGAAGAAAAAAAGGAAATAAACGAGGGCTTAATGGTTCGATCGAAGAAAAAGAAAGAAAGAAAGGAAAGTCCGACAAAAATAATGTGTCAGAGATTTCTATTAATTTCCGAAAAGTAAAAAGGAACTTTTTGAAATAAACAGAAGAAGGAAAAAAAACGTCGGTGGCACGTGGGAACCAACATTAGAGACACAAAAGTAGCGAATAGAAGGAAGGGAAGACGTGTCGGAACGTTGTCTCTAGACAGGTGGCATAATATGGTAATATTCGGGCGACTATTTCAAAGTCCGATGTTTGGACCTTTTTGTTGTCTAATTCTTATTGGCTCCGCACTACTTTCCAACGCTAATTTTCTATTTTATTCTATGCTACGCTACTACAAAATTTGACACATTGATTGAAACAATACACTCACATGGAAGGTCGACATTATTTTATTCGCGCTGAACCCACACTTCGACTGTGAGTATAATGTCATTTTTTTTGTCAAACATTACGTTCGTTTGACATTTCTCATTTTACTCCAGCATTGAGTAATGTTATAGCCCTGTTGAGCCAATAACAACACTCATGATGATTTCCCACAAAATGATTGAGGACTAACTATGCTATTAAAATGTGAAAGGTTAATTGAGGACTAACTGTGCTGTTAAAATGTGAAGGGTTAATTTGCTTTTTGAAAATTCAAATGTATAATTTTATAGCTTTGGTCCTTCGACTATTTTCTATTAGTGTGTGTTTGATTATATTTATTTTTCATGAAAAATATTAGTTTTTTCACCCAAATTCTACTTTGAGTGTTTCATTTCTATTATTTTCCGTTAAAAATATTTTTCAAATTTTGAAAATATATCTAATTTTCCTTTTTTTAAGGAAAATAGTTTTTTTTTTTTTTGTAAGATGATATTTTCCATACAAATCAAACAAACCCTTAGTTATTATCCCATGATCACATTGAATTCGTTCTTTGCTTTTTTATCTTGCCTTTTCCTCTCTTTCCCATAATCCCCTATTCTCCTTAACTACATCGATCAAATTACACGAAAATCTAAAACTTTTTCTTATTTTTAACCACATTTCACATCATTACACTATTCAAAAATACATTTTCTTTGCAAAAATGAGGCTCAAACAAGGGTTAAGTTTTAGTAAAAATGATTTTTAAAAAGTTGGACTAAAAATTAGTAGGGGTGAACAACTTAATGGTATATTCAAACGAGTTTTAAAGTTCTATGTGAGAGTTTGTTTTGTTCGGATTAAAATTTGATTTTAACTTAAGTCAAAGTCAAACAATTAATATTAATTACATATTTTATGGATCTCACAACTTTTCAACAACACATTTTAAAAACTTCTATCACAATCTATTAATAAATTTAATTTTAATCCCCACCAAAAAATCATGCTACAGGCGCATATTTCTTTCATGAAATTGTTTCAAAGATAAAACATGATTGACAGACGGAAAAAAGGAAAAAAGAAAAAACAGACGAATGAGGTCTATAGGAACTTGTGAAACTTTCCCTGTAATAAGGGAATAATCCGGTAAGTAAAACAATTCGAAGTTCAACTATATAGATGACAGATGACACTGAAGAACTGATTCCAATTTCCACTTGCTGTTTAGGGCTATACGGACCCTTGAAAAGAATTGGGGTTTCGCGTGAAAATAGAGGTAGTAATTATTGGATGGATAGCAGCAACTTTAACACAAATGGCTTGGAGCAGACACTGCAGGATGGAAAGCTTTACCGCCACGTGAATGCTTTAGTCGTTGCGCATCTCCGTGACAATAATCTCAATCAGGTACTGTTTCGTGACTTATTTAATCATCAATTTTATTATTGTGGGTGTTTAGAAATGCCTTATGGAACTAGGTTGGAATCAGTATCATTTCAGATTCAAGCAGAAATCGTTAAAGCTGCGTTTTGTAGCATGGATTAAGGTCTTGTAATCGGAACAAGATATAATTCTGTTCGTATTTGAACTAATTTTTTGGAAGTTCTAATTTATATGCTGCCAAACACAGAGTGAGAGAGCATGATGAGCTTAGCTGATCGGGGGGCTGTTGTTTGCTCACCACTGGGAGATGGAACCATATCCAATCAATGGATATATAATTCCTTAATCAATTGCCGAATAAGGAAGTCCCCCATGTTTGAACTACCGTTGTCATAATCCCTTACGTTGGTTTGTCTCTTTAGCATGATTTTAAAGATTGCAGCAATTTGCAGCACAAAGTACTGATAGGAATGGAAATGAACTATTTATTATTGGAGATCTTGAGGCAGCACGCAATAATAAGAATTAAAATGCACTTGGATTTTGTATCTAAACCTAGAGGAGCAAATATTATGCAGTATGCGCGTGTAGAAGGAATTCTCAGTACCAGTATTAGACCTGCCACTCTCTGTAGTACTGAGTGAAGTACAATATGCCCATTAGATGATTTTAGCCTGTGGATGCTAAGATGGATGTGTTGATATACTAAAATAAAATTAGAATATATGGAAAAAGTTAAGGACAAATTAAGGGAATGCCACTTATGTGGTTAGGACATATTTTGAGGGGACATGAAGATGTTCACAAGAGTGACGCTATTTAAGCATACGTTTATGTTTATAAGAGTGACCCGATTCAAGCATAATAAGTTATAAGAGGGAGGGGTAGACCAAAATGAACAAAATGTTGTAAGGATCCAGCTGCTGTGGGTCTTTGAGTAGATTTAGCTATTAGTCGAATAGTGGTAAAAAAATGGTTCATGCAGCCAACCCCATATTTTTGGGGAACAAGGTTTAGTTTGTTTGTTTGATTTGTTATTTGTGTAGGTCTGGCAATAGTTTGTTAGCATTCCATCACATGTCATCATTGCTAATCTCTTTGCAAGGAATTTGCGAATCTGTAGTGACCTATTTCATAAATTAATATGCACTGGGTATGACATCTTAGGGAAAAAAATTTACCAGAAACTTCTTGTAATATCTTTTCCGCACTTCAAGCCATTAAAATTATGAGCTAATTTTGATCATCTACCCTATATTTACCAGACTTCATCGTGCCTAACACGATCCTATACACCTCTCACCATTTAAAATCCTTGAAGTCCGCTTAATGGTTGTCTGTACTGGATAAAAGTAAATGTGTAAAAGTTCTTCACCTGTATAATGGAAGATTTGGAAGTAAAATGCACTGTTGTCATGATTCATGTTTGTCTGCCTTCTGAAAATGCCAAGTCATGATTGCATCTGAGGCTGGACACTGAAGTAAATGTTGTGGTACAGAACTAAATTCATTGTACCTTATATCAATTGATTGAGATTTTTATATCATTAGAACAATCACAGAAGTGACCCTTCTGCATTAACTTTGCTTAAATTCAGTGGAAATCTAGCATGTTTTCGAGCTCGGGTATTCTTCTGTAATTTTGATTTTAGAACTATTACCACTTATTCAATTGCTCAGCACCTAGCTAGGCTTTTGAAATAAAGAACACTTAAGATTATGCATCTATACACCAATCGGGCTTCAGGAAAGTTAGATTAAGTTCTTGTTTGATTCCCCATTATTTCCAAAATACATTTTTCTCTCTCTTCTTTTCAACCACACATTCTTCAATAAAATAATATTACACGAAAGCCCAAAATTTTCCTTATTTTTTAACCTCACATTCTCCATCAATCTACCATTCCAAAATACATTTTAGAATAAAAATGGGGCTCAAACGGGCTCTAGATGTATATACCTTAATACATTCTGTCTCTTGCGACAGTATTCATGTATTCCAAATGACATGTAATCATAGTCACTAGTACATGGCTGTAAGTTTCTCCACACTAGTAGAATATTCCTTCAATATGCCCCAATTACCCATTTGATTATGAGCATTACTGAATGTCAAAAGGCTTGATCTGAAATTCATTCAAGAGCATCTGTAAAACCATCAGATAATTTACACTGCCCAGATTTCCAATAACGGCAAGGTTCAGATTAAATTTCTTATCTTGATTCTGCAAATCACAAAATTTTGTGTCTGAACTTTTTTTCTGTTATGCAGGCAGCAAGTGCAGTTGCATCCGCTACGATGACACCACTAAATGTAGAAGTACCTCATAACAAGCTCATTGAGTTGGTTGCTAAGGTTTATATTGATTGCGAAGATATTACTTGTTTTACATTTATTATTTGGTATCTTACCATACAATCTAAGAATTATGGGGAGAAGACGGAGGAGAAAAGGTAAAAAAAATAAAATAATGATAATTAGCAGGGTCTTGCAGTGGAGAAAGATGAGATGTTGAGAGGAATTCCTTCCGAGGCGCTGCTTGATTCAAGCATATCTACAGGATATGGATCAATAACAGCTCCACGTGTTGTTGGCGTTGATTTCAGGCAAGCCAATTTTTATCAGTTGGATTTAAACAATTTTATGATGATATATTTATTAACATTCAAGAGAAGTAGTTAAATGGAAGGTTAAGGTGGAGACTGTAGATAAAATTTTTTGCAGTAAGTACAGTGATAAAGTGATATTATACTTGTAGGTAATTAATTTAAACCTATGGCACCTGTGCCTTTGTAGGTACTCCAGATGTACTTTAGTTATTATGCACAAATCATTATGGTGTCCATCTAAACCCAGCATATAATGGCAGAAATTGTACATCATTAACTCTGTTCTCAACAACATGCATACAGTGCTATGTCAGTGATGGCATGCTGTGATGATCATTAAGTTGATTTGTCTCTGCCGTTGTTTTGAAAGAACTCCATATGAATGTCTGAACTACAATGGTTGCCGAATGACTCAACATCTACTTACATCTGGGTCATATGCTTTCTTTCTTCAACCTTTCCATTGCGCTTTGATTGTCATAAGCGGTAGGATATCGTCCGTGAAAGCTTTAAGTTTTGTTGTTCTCCACAAAATGGTCGTGTTTAATTTTATTTACTGAAGATATATTTTGACCATGACTTCGATTGTAAATATAAAGGGAAAAGAAGTTAACTTCCAACCTATTTGATCATAGGTTTCACCCAGAAGGCTCATCGATGAAAGTATTAAGTTCTTTTTCCCCTGGTTATTAACAGATATTTTGCGGTAAATACAATTTTTTCTTTGTAACAGTGCTGTGCATGACATAAAAGGCTCATCAAAGAGTTTCCAGAAGCATGAAACTAGGCACGTTTCAGAACACAAGGTATACATTTGTGGTAAAAAGGTGTTAGACAAATAGCACTTTTTACAAATAAGCACTTAGCTGTAAAATTCTTGAAGGGATTAACCTTTTAAGGAAATTTGATTCGCACAGAATGTTGCAAGATGTGCAAGATTTAGTCCTGATGGAAAGTTTTTTGCAACTGGAAGTGCAGACACATCAATTAAGCTCTTTGAGGTGTTAACATCAACTTATTGAACATGCACATTTCTTCTTACTTTCTCCAGCTCATTGCTCACATTTTCCTTGTGCAGATATCAAAAATTAAGCAAATGATGCTTTCAGATTCAAGAGATGCCACTATGCGGGCTGTAATAAGGACATTTTATGACCATCTACAAGTATAACTGTCTTTCAAAAGAATGTAACAAAACGTGAATTTTGTGTTAAAATTTTTAACATGTTTAAGTCGCATATAAGTTTGTACATGGTCATTTTTTTCTTCAGCATACTTGATGACTATTTTATCTTGAGATTCTTTTGATTGAGATTATTAATTGGTTATTGTGGTGCTTTGTCTTTCCCTATTCTAGCTAACGCTTTATCCTATGACTGCAGCCTGTAAATGATTTGGATTTCCATCCTCAAAATACAATTCTGATTTCTGGGGCCAAAGATCACACAATAAAGTATGGCCAACATTTTTATAGTTTCTCAGATTGTTTTTATGCTTACATTTCATTATCTAATATTTATTTGTCCTATATATTTGCATGAGGTTTAGAGGATTTGATTTTAAGTCATCATTGTTAGATCTCCTCTCCCACCCTCAGTGGAGTCTCAGAATTACAAATTTTAGCATGCAATTGTATTGACAGGTTCTTTGATTTCTCGAAAACAGTTGCGAAGAGAGCATTCAGAGTTATTCAGGTTTCCCTCTGTCCTTTGGTATCCAAGCATGGTTCTAGGCTGTAAAAATATAATTCATAATATTGATTGCATCGGTTATCATCAATCTAAAATTCGGTAGTGGAATTTCAACAGGATACTCATAATGTGAGGTCTGTATCATTTCATCCATCTGGAGAATTTCTTTTGGCAGGTTATTATATTTTTGTACTCCACAGTTTGACTATTATCATGTGATGCCGTAATGCTTCTTCATACCTAACTATTGCAGAATCTTAAAAAAATAAAATAAATTCCTGTAGGATAATTGTGAATTTGCTGTGTTATTTAACTCAAAATCCATTTTCTAAATGTTCATGTTCATACACCTTACCAATGCGTACTGTGCATACAACATTAAATATTAAGACACTTGTATTAGTACGTGTTGAAGACAATATTTAAATGATATACATGTGATCCTCTGCATTAGCTTAAGATTTTAGATAACGTAACCATGTAATATCAGTGCTTGCAAAGATTTTGGCTTCAATTCTCGCCATCGCACATTTTAATGTATCATTCATGCGTTAGGCTTTAGTAGAAAAAATATTTTCCACCACATGAAAGGATGTGTTGAAGAGAATATATAAATGATGTACACCTCCCTGTCTAACAGCTAAATCTTTTAGATGAAGTGTTTGTACACTATGGATACTTTGGAACACATTTTATTCTGAATGTGAGCTCATTTGTATCTTTTAACATATATTCTGTCAATTGAACAGAGATTTCATTCCTTCCATTTGTAGTTCATAAAAGAATATAGATTTAACTTTGGTTTTCTCTGATTTATTTGGTCCAAAGACAATATCGATAATATAATATTTTGAAAGCATGGTGTATGAATCATAATTGTCTCTTGGGAGGGTGGATCTTCATGTTGACATCAGGCGTGATTTCCCACACTGAATTTCCATAAATATCGTGATGACCAAATCATTGCCTTGTTCCTTGTATCATTTTATTTTGATCCTGATTACTGAAATAGACCATAGAAGACAGCTTGTACAAATTTCATCAAGTCCATCCCGTTGAAGAACAACCATACCGCGTGAGATTAGATATCTTGTAGAGATCTTTACTTACGAAGCAATCTCAATTTTTTGTACCTTGATATCAATCTGTAATTTACAGAAGACAAGGTGTCTCAATAGACGTTTTCTGCCACAACAGACAGTAGTTGACAAAAATATGTTGGAGAAGTATGGTAGCTACCTTTGGATAACAGTTTGTTAAATAGGCGGCTTAATTCTCACCTCGTTTGTGCTCATCATGAGTGTCACCTTTGACTTCCATGCTTTTACTATTCTTTTTACTGTAGAGAAATTCAATTTGATTTTAAGCATGTTGAAACCATGTTTCCCAATTGTAATTGCCATAATTGACCGTTTGATTGAACAGCAGATTTTCTGAGTTAAATTCGGTGCTCATTTACAAATATATGATATTGGTTCTAGAATTCCATCATATGCACTAGTATCTGATCAGTGTCTTAAATTTTGTTACAGGAACGGACCATCCAATTGCTCACTTGTATGATGTTAATACTTTTCAATGTTACCTATCAGCAAATGTTCAAGAGATTGGTGCCAATGTAGCCATAAACCAGGTATAATCATAACCTTGCTGAACTCTTAATGCATATCATTGTTAGTTTTCTTAACATTCCTTGCATAAATTAAAATGTGTACTATATGTTATTTCTTAAGTAGGTTAGGTATTCGTCAACTGGAGGCATGTATGTGACGGCTTCTAAAGATGGTGCTATAAGGTTGTGGGACGGGGTGACTTCCAATTGTGTTCGCTCCATTCTTGGTGCACATGGAACAGCAGAAGCTACAAGTGCAAATTTCACAAAAGATCAAAGGTGGAGTTTACTTAATGTCTGCATACCTAAATCTCTTTTCTTTTGAAGCCATACCCTTGCAAGATAATAACAACTGCGTATCATTAGGTGCACTCATGTGTCCCTTGCTCTCACGCAACTATAAGTTCATGCTTATGCATGTGTGTATGCACCTTGGAAGAGAGAGGCTGACTTCTGCGTTCTTTGACTTTATTGTGATGTTGCTATAATTTACAGTTGTTGGTAATTCAAAGTAGAAACTTCTATGCAAATTTGAAGGCTTTTCTGATGCAGCACCAATGGGACAATTCATTGAGAAATAGAACAGATCTATAGGAAGAGGGAATTAAAGAGAAGAATGAGGAATTAAAGGGGGGAAGAAGAAGAATTTAATAGAAGAGGGCAGAATAAGGGGAGGGATGCGCCATAAGCCACCAAAATAATTATTCATTCATCATCAACTGTCTCAAATGAGAAACAAAACAGAAATAAATAGCAGAAGATAAACCCTAAAGAGAAGGGTTTGGGCCAAACCCACTAAACAAGCTCAATAACGAAAACATAAACAATAGTCCAAATAAAATATAACTAAGAGTCCAAATAGAAAATAAATAATAAATGGATGTCCGCATCAACTCTCCCGGGGTGGGAGAAAAACTCGACCCCGTCGAGTAGATAAAGTAGAATGTTGCACTGAATCTGATGCGAAAGGCTCCAAGTCATGCCACGGGGGACGATCTTTCTCGATGACCAAATACCGAAACTCCACAAATGATAACAAGGATAGTTGTAGCTTATCCTCAAGGATATGATCCAACCAAGGAGGACGATCTTTCTTTGTAATCACATACTGATACTGAACTCCCAATAGTAAAAATTCATGCCACTTATCTCCAAAATCTTCCTCATTGGTCAACACAACCTGTTTATCTAAAATAGCATCAGTTACATCTTTGTGTGCTGTGACATGTGTTATTGGAGTGAAAATGGTAACATATTTAGGTTGGGGATCCACATAAGGAAGTAGAAAAGGATCATCAAGGAAATTAAAAAGACCTTTGTAAGTAACTAAGTCTTCAATATGTAAAGTAGAGTGGTGGTCAAAATGTGATGAAAAATTAATGACATGTGCGTATGGACCAATATGTTTTAAAACTTTAAAAGGACCAGTACTACCGGCTTGCAATATAACATAATCCCCAATATGAAATTGAAAATATTATTTATGCAAATCAGTTTGAAGTTTATATAAGGCATTACTTGCGTGAAGTTGTTTATCGATCTTAATATGCAAGTCATGAAGATGATGCACAAATGCTTCAACTGATATCGACACACTAGCATGTGGGGATATGGAAATAAGGTCTAACGGCCGCCTAGACTTATAACTATGAACAACTTCAAATGGATTCAAACCTAGAGACCGATTTACAGAATTGTTATACGCAATTTGAACAGTTGGGGGAATCAAGTCCCAATTTCTAAGATTTTTCTGGACTAGAGACTTGTATAAATTGCCAGGACTTTGGTTAACGACTTCATTTTGACCATCAGTTTGAAGTTGGTCAGTAATGGGGAATGTTGATTTAATGCTAACCACAGGCGACTGAATTCTCCAAGGGTGGCCAGTGAAATCATCAAGCTCTTTGAGTTGTGCAAGGGTATGCCATATAACATGTGACCGAGAGTTGTCAGAAACAAGGGGTATAATATCTAAAGTCTTGGGAAGAGTCTGGAGTCCACCTAAAGAAGTGTCCTCACTATCATCCAAGTCATCAAAATCTTCAAGTTTAGGTTCATAGACTAGATCTTCTAATGGCATATTTATTACATTCTTTCGTTCTTCTATGACTAAGGTTCGATTAGTACATTTGGAAGAAATGTGGCCAAAATCTTTACAGTTGACGCACAACAAGTGAGAAGAAGACCTTGGAGTTTCAGAAATTCCACCATGATTTTTCAAGATTGGAGAACCATTAGAAGGGGGAGGTCCTAGAAGGGATTTAACGGGAAGAGGTGGAGCCAATGAAGCCAAATGATGATTATAAAAAATTTTACCCTTATTTTTCAAAATTGGAGGAACATCAGATGGGGGTGGTCCTAGAAGGGACTTAACGGGAGGAATTGGAGCCAATGACACGGAAGAATGATTGTCAATATGCTTTCTACATGGAAAAGGAGAATGTGGACTATCACGACCTTTACAATTATTTTTCCAAATAGAAGGAACATTAGACGGAGACGGTTTTATGATAGACTTATGATGAGGCGACACTAATGAGATGGGTGAGCGACGATGACCACGCTTTTCATATGGAGTACTAATAATCAACTCATAATCTCGGGCGAAAGAGTAAGCGTGATCAAGAGTAGTGACACCTCGAAGGAAAAGCTCGCGCTTAAGATCATCTCTCAGACCTTGGCTAAACCTACTCAAAGTCGTGCTCTCATCCTCAATTAAATGACATTTGATTCGAAATTCCTCAAATCGCGCGATATACTCAGTCACTAATTGATTTCCTTGTTTAAGGGCATTCCATTGAGTAAGAATTTCAAAATTATCTCGTTCTCGCTCACGAATCTGATCCCTATTCCTATCCCTATCCTTACGATCGGGTCGAAAGTATTTTTGATTACCTTGTCGACGATGTTGTCTATTATGGGACACCTTAAAATTATTAACATCAATCGAATGAGGGATGTGTTTAAAATTTTTCGAACTAACAGATAGGGCCTTACTCTCTTCAAGAGTAGCGGTCATTTGAGTTTGAATAGCCGCTATTTGTCGGGTGAGTGCATCGAATTGTGAGGGGTTCATGTTTAAGGTACTAGAGCTAGAAGTGACAAGATGACCAATATGTAACTACATGCAAAGCAATACTACCTAAATGAAATGCAATAGAGAGACCAATATGCATCAAGGACCAACGATTAAAACATCAATTTGAAATTCTCTCTCTCTCTTCTTCCCTTCCAAAAATGCAAGTTAATAGTGCTGATGCTTGTAAATAATAAAGCAAGGGTCCAATGCTTGTTAAGATCAAATGGTATTGTCAAGATTTCCAATCAGGTAGATAAAAGAGGTAACAATGACACATCAATTCAGTGAGATAAATGGGGCAACAATGGCAAGTCAATTCAATGAGTGATTCCAGTCAAGTGAAGTTTGAGGCCAAAGTTGTGATAGTAACAGCAACACAAAGAATCTAAGTGATGCACTTTTAAAATAAATCAGCAGTATAAACCAATGAGAATTAGGAGATAGCAACTCCCTGTAGTCTAGTTGCCTGAATTGCTAACGATTGGGCCTCTGATCTGCCTGTGTCAAATGTCTCCAGTTCCTGAACTCACGGTCATTGCATATTCTAAATTGTTGGCTTCACTGAAATTGGACAGATGCTGAAATAGAAACCTATGTGTAACTGAATGGGTTGCTTGGTAGTAGAGACAGTATACTGCTTGATCAATGAAGTCCGTGGCTGGCTGTAATCCTCAAAGAAAGTTGTTGAAAAATTGGGCCAGTGGTGGGTCACCCGCGATGATGCTGCTGTCGGTGGAAGGGCAGTTGCGGTCAATCGGCGTAGATACTGTGACGGCCTGGCTTCTGAGGAATTGATGCGTGAATGTGCCTGGGTAATGAATGGGTCTCTTCACGGTGGACTCTGTAATATTGCTGTGAGTTGTGAGGAGGGCGGCGATATGTGAATGAAAGATGAGTGGTGCTTCGGCGTTGTTGGAATATGGATGACTGAAACTGTAGACACTGGCTTATGGAAATAATGAGCAATGGCCGGCCGATTGATGGTCGGCCGACTAAGTGGTGAAGTCCGACTGGGGTGCAAGTCGGCGACGGTGACTGGTAGGAGGGAACGGACGACTGGACATCATGGGTATTGACGGGGTGAGCTGCTGGTCGTGGGGAGTGACGGGATGAGTTAGGGCTCGGGTTGGGGAAATTGATTTGGGTAGTGAGATAGGAGTTGGGTTGGGCCGGATATTGAGAGTTGGGCTGACGATTGGTGTAATGGGCTAATGTGGGTGTGGGCTGGATAATTGGTTTGTATGGTAATTGGGTCTTATGGGCTTGGAGTATAAATAGAGTTGGAATAATGAATCAATGGGCTGCTGTAATTGGGTTAGGGATATGGGCTTGACCGAGTCTATGGATTATGAATTAGTGGGTTACGTGGGTTTGGGCTGTGTTCAATATGGGCTGAGTTTAGACTGAAAATTATGTTGGGCTGGAATATATGTTGGGCTAGAGTATATGGAATTGAAAAAAATATATATATAAGCTAGGGTTTGAAACAGCAACTTTAATGCAAAAGGAAGCAGCAAATCAATCAAATTGAACAGCAGAATTTTTTATTTATTTATTTTTTTTTAACTAACTCTGAAAATTGAGGAATAAAATTGCTGCCTTTATCAAAATCCTTTTAATTTGTGCTGTCCCAACAAAATTTGAGAGAAAAGAAGAGATTTTGGATTGTAAAAGAAAGTACCCAAGATTCGGCTCTGATACCAAATTTGATGCAGCACCAATGGGACAATTCATTGAGAAATAGAACAGATCTATAAAGAGAGGGAATTAAAGAGAAGAATGAGGAATTAAAGGGGGGGAAGAAGAAGAATTTAATAGAAGAGGGCAGAATAAGGGGAGGGATGCGCCATAAGCCACCAAAATAATTATTCATTCATCATCAACTGTCTCAAATGAGAAACAAAACAGAAATAAATAGCAGAAGATAAACTCTAAAGAGAAGGGTTTGGGCCAAACCCACTAAACAAGCCCAATAACGAAAACATAAACAATAGTCCAAATAAAATATAACTAAGAGTCCAAATAGAAAATAAATAATAAATGGATATCCGCATCATTTTCATTTAGAGTTGCAATTTGAAGACAGTCTTTTAGAAGAAACTCATTTATATAGTGTATTATGTTATTTTTGTAATCCAAAAGATGCATGAAAAAGGCAGATACTTTAGTTCTAAATAATTTTTGCCAATATTTTATTCAAAATCCCATTCCTGTATTATGTTACAATCAAATTCAACCATGCATGCATATATTAGAAATTACCCCAGAATTTGCATATTGTTCTCTTTTTGTCTTTATAACCTAACTATGAGCACCAACCAACTAGATACTTCTAGCTATTCTCCAGAGGCAGCTATACAAGTGGGTGACTACCAACTTGAACTAAGTTTGGGTTGAATCTAGGACAAGTTAGGAGAAACACAAAAGCAGTGTATATGGCTGTGTGTCCTTGGCCAGAGTCTTGTAATTTCCCTATCCTCACGGTGTCTTTCTAGTCCAATCTATTACACAGAGAATCAAGTTTAATACCCTTGTCACCCTTACTTAAATGAAGCTATTTAGGGACCTTATGGACTTTCCATCCAACCTCCAACCAGAACCCAGTTCTCTCCCACTCCTGTCCAACTAGGTTTAAGTCATTAATTTTGGGCTATTACATGAAATGCTTAAAATTTCAACTCTCAGTTATGTGATTGAAGCTTGTCAGCCTAGTTATCAATAATGAGAACTAGTCCCCAAGATTAACAAGCCAAGCACTATAACCTTACAGAGTAAAGCATTACTGTTCATGGAAATATTAGTATATTTCACACAAACTTTTAATGTGCATAATTCTAGCAAAAGTCATTCATATAACATTTGAATCTTAATATTTGGTCAATGCTTGAATAAATAAATGATGTTGAAGACTGCATAAATAATTTCATTTATTTATTACATCAAAAGGTTATGTCTAGGTACAAGGTTATGTGTAGGCAATTGAAGCCTTGCCATTGAATTTGTAGATATAGGGGAGACACTAATAATTCCTTTTGTCTCCCATTCTTGCACTAAATCACCATTTTTTGATGAAATTTGCTTCTGCCTGATTTGTTCAACTATATATGTTAAATTTGTACATTTTTTTCTGCTCAACTCAACCGTTCAGTTGCTTAGGTATGTTCTTTCTTGTGGAAAAGATTCTACTGTAAAACTCTGGGAAGTTGGCTCAGGTAGATTGGTCAAGCAATATCTTGGAGCTGCACATATGATGTTGAGGTGCCAGGTATGCCATATCTTGATATAGCATTTTCTTGAGGCATTTTCAGTTGGCATTAGGTTTCCTGGTTTTAATAGTAACCTCATTAATGTGTCATTACTCAAAATTTGCAAACATATAGTACCTAGTGGCTGCAAGGTCTCACAATTTGCATTTGCATTGTTCGAATTGTTCGAATTTCCTCGACTTAGTGTAAACCAATTATTCTTAGCTGGACATCATAGATAGGCCGTACTAGTGTTACTTCGTACATTTTTGTTTCTGGGTTGACTTCCTAAACGCTAGTAGGCTTCTAGGTGTACCATATATAGTTAAATTTATATTTGGGAAGAAAGCAGATTTTTAGCAATTATGTTTATTTACTTTCCTTGTATATTCAATGATTGTAATATATATGTATGCAATAGAGACGATACGAATACACACGTTTTACAGAAATTTCTCTTGATTATTCATCCCCTTTCTGACATGGTATCAGAGCGAGGGTTCTGAGTTCTTTCCGGCTGTGATTCTCTTCTCGCGTTCTTCCGTGCTGTGGGTTCTTTTTTTCTGTTTTGGTGTTGGGGGTGGTCGTTGGTGTATTTGACATGTGATTTCCCTGCCTTCTTCGACGTCTTCCAGTTCCGATGCGAAATCCGGTCTTCTTCTACTTCTTTCCGATTCCGGCGAGTGATATTTCTCTCGAAACCTTGGTCCGGATCTGCCGTCGGTTGTCTCTCTCTCGAAATCTTGGTCGATCTTGCCTTCGGTTGCCTCGGTCGAAGCCTCTCAGTGTCTGTGGCTGGTATTTGGTGGAAGGTTCACAGACGTGGCTGGTATTTTAATTTTTTGGACCTTGGGTGTAATTATTTAATTTGGGCATCTGTTGAATTATTTAATTTGGGCCATTCCTAGTTAATTTTGTGTTCCATTGCTGGGCTTTGAAGTGTGTAGTGTGATTGGGTTGCATATTTTATTCCATCATGTCATTTGATAAGTTAGACTCATTCCTGGTTTGTTTTAATGGGAAAAATTACTTGGCTTGGGAGTTCCAATTTCAATTATTTGTCAAAGGAAAAGAGTTATGGGGTCATCTTGATGGAAGTGATCCCGCTCCAAAAGATGTCGAGGCTTTGTCGAAATGGGAAATCAAGGATGCTTGGGTTATGACCTGGATTCTGAGTTCAGTCGCGTCTCACCTCATTCTCAATCTGAGGCCTTACAAAACTGCTGCTGATATGTGGGCTTATCTGAGTAAGGTTTACAAACAGGACAATTCCGGTCGACGTTTTCAATTGGAATATGAGATGGCTAACTTTACACAGGGAAATTTATCGATTGAAGAATATTTTTCAAGTTTTCAGAATCTTTGGGCAGAATATTCAGATATTGTTTATGCTAATGTTCCCGCTGGGGTTCTATCTGCTGTTCAAACAGTGCATGCGACAAGCAAGAGAGATCAATTCTTGATGAAGTTACATCCTGATTTTGAGGTTGCACGATCAAATTTGATGAATCGTCATCCTGTGCCATCTCTGGATATTTGTTTGGGTGAACTTCTTCGTGGGGAGCAACGTATAGTTACCTAGGCTACCATGGAACATAGGGATACTATTAGTGGTCCTGTTATTGGGGCTTATACAGCATACGGGAGGAATAAGGGTCGAGGCATGTGTGCTGTCCAGTGCCACAACTGTAGAAATTTTGGTAATATTGCTCGGGATTGTTCTAAGAAACATTACTGCAAGAAATCAGGTCATCACTGCAAGAAATCAGGTCATCACATCTCTGTTTGCCCCATTTGACCTGAGAAAAAGCATACCACTGCCTATCATGCCTCCATCGGTGCCTCTGGCTCTATGACATTGCCAACTGCTACACATGTTCCTACTTCCGCTACTGCATCCACTCTCACCCCTGAAATGGTACAACAAATGATCAATTCTACCTTCTCGGCTTTTGGACTTTCAGGTAATACATCATCTTCTAAGCCATGGTTCTTTGACTCTGGAGCCTCTAACCACATGACCAATACAATTAGCCCTCTTTCCAATGTAAGAGAATGTGATGGCAATCTAAAAATTCACACCGCTAATGGCAGTTCTCTGCCTATCAAGGCTATTGGTGATCTTTCCTCTTCCTTCACTAATGTTTTTATGTCTCCTAACCTTTCTACAAATTTAATTTTGGTTGGTCAATTAGTTGATAACAATTATGATGTTCATTTCTCTCGCTCTGGTTGTGTTGTGCAGGATCAAGTGTCCAAGAAGATGATCGCGAAGGGGCCTAAAGTGGGACGACTCTTTCCCTTGCATATTTCTCATTTCCCTAGTTCTCCTTTACTTTCCTTTGCATGTAATGCTATTAGTATCGATACTAAATTATAGCATAAACGTTTAGGCCACCCAAACTCGGATGTACTTCGTACTTTATTTCATTCTGATTTATTGGGTAATAAAGCATGTTCTTCCGATCTTTCTTTTGATTGTACTGCATGCAAAATTGGCAAAAGTAAAGTTTACCTTTTCCCTCTCATGGATCTCGTGCATCATAATGTTTCGATATAATTCATAGTGATGTTTGGGGGATTTCACCTATTATTTCTCATGCAAGTTATAAGTACTTTGTTACATTCATTGATGATTTTAGTCGCTTTACTTGGGTTTATTTTTTAAGAGCCAAGGTTGATGTCTTTTCAGTTTTTAAGCGTTTCCTTGCTTTTCTTGAGACTCAATTTTCTAGCGGTATAAAAATCTTGCGATCTGATTCTGGAGGAGAATATATGTCCAATGAGTTTCAAGACTTTCTCCAAAACAAGGGTATTATTTCTCAGCGTTCTTGTCCTTCGACGCCGCAGCAAAACGGTGTTGCCGAAAGAAAGAATCGTCACCTTCTAGATATGGTGCGAACTCTTTTACTTGACTCATCTGTACCTTCTTGATTCTGGTGTGAAGCACTTTCCACTTCTGTGGATTTTATTAATCGTTTACCCTCTCCTCCTTTAAATCATGCTTCTCCTTTCTTTAGGTTATATGGACACTTACCATCATACTCTGATCTACGTACATTTGGTTGTGTTTGTTTTGTGCATCTTCCTCCTCATAAGCGACATAAACTTACTGCTCAATCTGTTAAGTGTGCTTTCCTTGGTTATGCTATCTCTCAAAAGGGTTATATTTGTTATGATCCTCTTACTCGACGCATCCGTGTCTCTAGGAATGTGGTTTTCCTTGAAAACCAATATTTTTTTCCGTCTCATGTTGACCTGCCATCTACGTCTTTATCTGGCATGCCTACCTTCTCTGATTTCCTTCCTCCTATGGTGCGATTTAAACTGGGACTTGTATATGAACGACGCAATCGTGAATCTGGTGGCGCTCCTTTTGTGCCCCCTCCCGATCTCACTGCGGCACCTGATCCTACTATAGCTCCTCCATGTCTTCGTCGGTCTACGCATCCTTCTCGACCGCCTAATCGGTATGATTTTTCATCTCCTGTCTCTCTTGTAGCTACTTTATCTACTATTTTCATTCCCTCTTCTTATAAACAAGCCTTGGAATATGAGTGTTGGCAAAATGCAATGAAAGCAAAACTTCAGGCACTTGAGGAGAATCACACTTGGGACGTTGTTCCTTGCCCTCCTGCGGTGAAACCTATTGGGAGTAAATGAGTTTTCTCTGTGAAACTTCGTTCTGACGGCTCTTTGGATCGATACAAAGCACGTCTTGTGGCATTGGGTAACAAGCAGGAATATGGGGTTGATTATGAGGAAACTTTTGCTCATGTTGCTAAAATGACCATCGTGCGAACAATCTTAGCTATTGCTGCTTCTCAGTGATGGAAACTCCATCAGTTGGATGTGAAGAATGCATTTCTTTATAGCGATCTTCATGAGGTGATTTATATGACACTTCCATCTGGTATGCCTACTTCTCCTCATGATGTGTGTAGGCTACGACGTTCTCTATATGGGCTTAAGCAGGCTCCTCGAGCGTGGTTTGAGAAGTTTCGTAGCACTCTTATTACTTTCAGTTTTGCACAGAGTTAGTATGATTCTTCTCTGTGAAATTCTTCTCTATTCTTTCACAAATCTGGCTTGGGTATTGTACTTCTTTTGGTTTACGTAGATGACATCATCATTACTGGCACAGATTGTGATTTCATGTCTAAGCTTAAACAGTGCTTGCATGCCACTTTTCACATGAAAGATCTTGGTCATCTCACATACTTCTTGGGCCTCGAAGTTTATCATTAGGATCAAGGTATTTTCTTAAACCAGCATAAATATATTCAGGATCTTCTTGTGCTAGCTGGGTTGGAGGATTCTTCTTCCGTGTATACTCTTATGGTAGTCAATTTCAAGTACAGGAAAGAAGAAGGGGATCTTCTAGAAGACCCTACTCTATATCGTCGTCTAGTTGGGAGTCTTATCTATTTGACTACCACTCGTCTAAATAACTCATATGCCGTCCATCAGGTCAGTCAATTTATGTCTTCACCTCGGCATCTTAATCTTGCGGTTGTTCGCTGTATTGTTCGCTATCTCCGTGGATCACCACTCGTGGATTGTTCTTTCCTAGAGGGTCTTCACTTCAACTCTTAGCCTACAGTGATGCTGACTGGGCTGGGTGTCCAGATACGCGTTGTTCAACTACGGGTTGGTGTATGTTTTTGGGTGATGCATTGATATCTTGGAGATGCAAGAAACAAGATCGTGTTTCTAAATCATCTTCTGAGGCTGAGTATCGTGCCATGTCTTCCGCTTGTTCTGAGATTATTTGATTACGTGGTCTTCTAGTGGAGCTGGGGTTTCCTCAGACTCATCTTACTCTCCATGCTGACAACACTAGTGCTATTTAAATTGCAGGCAATCCCGTCTTTCATGAACACTCCAAACACATTGACGTCGATTGTCATTTTATTCGTGACACTTTGACGGATCAAGTGATTTCCCTTTCCTACATTTCATCTGATCTTCAGGTAGCAGATGTCTTCAACTCGATTGCGGCATCAATTCCTTATTGGCAAATTGATGCTGGTTGATCTCCCCGCATCAATTTGAGGGGGGACGTTAACATATATAGTAAAATTTATATTTGGGAAGAAAGCAGATTTTTAGCAATTATGTTTATTTACTTTCCTTGTATATTCAATTATTGTAATATATATGCATGCAATAGAGACAACACGAATACACACGTTTTACAGAAATTTCTCTCGATTATTCATCCCCTTTTTGACACTAGGAAGAAGATTACTTGAGATAAGTATCATTGTTTTGATTACTTGAGATAAGTATCAATGTTTTCTCAATTATTTTCTATACCACAATTTAACATAAAATTGGGAAAATTGCAGCATTAATTCTGAATCTATGGGCTTGTTGCAAGTACCCAACCATTTCTCCTTCTTCTTCCTTTTTTTTTACAAAGTCATCCTGATGCTTTATAGTTTTGGAGTGTTGTCTTCCCTATTGGATAGTTTCTGTCTATTTAAATGTCTACAACACACGTGTAATGCATGTGAGGTTTGAGCACTTTTGAAGGTTTAATAGCTAAGCACAAATAATTGTAATGAATAATAGATTTTAGAAATAGAAAGATAAAAAATTGGGAGAAACCTCATCTCCTTCATACCCCAGCCCCAATTCCCCCACCGCCACCCAATGACGGAGTCAGGATTTTTGTTCAGTGCGGGCATCATTTTTCGACGCCGAACTTCGAGGTTTTGGTCATAGATTTAATGATGATAAAAAAATAAAACAATATTAGAACAATACTAAAAACGACATTATTTATATATTAAACTTGTTCCTTGCGAGTTTTCATATTTTGATATCGTCATACAATAACTTCATTATCAAGTTTCAAAAATATATCTTTCACTACATAAAAAATTGTGCTATCATTCATCCACTGATCACCCATCTGATTGCGCAATCTATCCTTTACGATACTCATGCAAAAAAGACTCTCCACAGTAGCAGTAGCAGCCGGTAAAATCAATGCCAAAGTCAAAAGTCTGTAAACCAATGGATATATCCTATCTTTCTTTGTCAGAACTAACTTCTTCGCAAGATCACCAAGGTCATTCAACCCTTCAAACTCTTTGTTAGAACGCATGTCAAAAATATAAGTCTCAAGTTGATCGTTAAGTACAATGACATCTACTAAGAGAAATCTAATAGATAAAGCTCAGCAAGTCTAATCAAGCTTTTCTTTTCAAAAGAAGAAAATGAATCTTGTGGACATAAACAAGCTACACAAAGAAGTAACTCTGTATTTACCTCCGAGAAACGATCATTCAATTCTTGAAGTTGTAAATCGATGACAGAATAAAACAAATCTACTCGGTAATGATGTAAATTTGAAATTTCTGGAGAATTACGCTGAGGGCGACCACGAAGTGCAAGGCGTACAAACATATAATCCATGTTGGGTATATGAATGTAATGTTGTTGACAAAAAGAACATACTTCTTCCAAAAAGGAGTCCCACCCTTCGTCTCTCATTATTTGGAGTCGTCGTTTGCAAAATCTCACAAATTGCATTGCATTCACAATATTTTGATCTTTCCTTTGCAATGCCTTTGACAGTTCATTTGACATCCCCAAGACACTTCTCATCGACTGTAGATTAAATGTAAAATCAAATTTTTGTATCGACTCCAACAAATTTGTTGCATCAGATCTTTGATCACAAGAACAAGATTCATCTTCAACAATCATTGCAAATACATCTAAAACAGAAGAGAACATGGCAAGCAAGCTGACCAAAGAATTATAATGTGAAATCCATTGTGTATCACCAGAGCGCTGAAGGGTCGTTTCTTGATTAAGTCCCCGTCCACTTAAAATCTCACCTTTTTTCAATGCCTCAACAATAAAGTCTAATTGTTTTTCTCAAAGAAGATCACAACGTTTGGAAAATGCTCCAACGGTATTTATCACGTCTCCAACCACACGAAAAAAGTTAGTAATAGGGATGTTCTTCTTTGCCACAACCACAAGCGCAAATTGGAGTTGATGAGCAAAGCAGTGAATGTAAAAGGCACATGGACTCTCCTTCAAAATTAGTGTTTTCAGACCATTAAACTTACCTTGCATATTACTTGCTCTATCATAACCTTGTCCTCTCAATCTAGACATGCTCAAGTTATATTTAGAAAATACCTTATCAATTGCAGCCTTAAGTGATAGAGCCGTGGTACTTGTAACATGTTCAATCCCTATGAAGCGTTCATTGACAAGTCCACTATTGTCTACATAACGTAAAACAATAGACATTTGCTCCTTCATTAACACATCACGAGATTCATCAACTAGAATAGAAAATAGTGAGTCGCCAACATCTTTGATAATAACATTGATTGTTTCAATAGCACAAGCATTTACTATATCCTTTTGAACATCAGGTGATGTCATTTGCAATTGTGAGGAGCATTTTCGAATGTGACGGCATTAATAACTTCATTATGAGCAGCCAAAAATTGCAATTGCACTAAGAAGTTACCTGGATTCAGAGAATCCTAAGATTCATCATGACCTCGAAATGAGCGCCCTTGTCGCAAAAGAAGTCGAACACAATCAATGGATGCATTAAGACGTGTAACATATGCACTTCTTGCTTGTTCTGATTGTTTGTAGAAAACCGATCGAATGTGTTGCTCTTGATTCATCAACACTTCACACTTAATGCGAGCTTGATTATGTGTACTATCATGAAGTCTAACATAAGTATGAAGTCCTTTTTTATCTTTCCAATATGTAAAACCTTCGCCAACAAAAGACTCATTGCCATCTTGCTTTCCAGAACTTGTTATGAAAAGATAACAATACAAACAATAAGCAGCATCCTTCTTTACACTGTACGCCAACCAACTTCTGAACTTTTTAAACCACAAAGGATTGAATCGTCTAATTGTTACTCCAAATTGTCGTTTTGGAAAATCATGATCTTGGGGCTGACAAGGACCCTTTAACATATATGCTCTTCGAATTTCATCTCGGATGTTAGCATTGTAATCCAAAATGGGTATTCTTAGACCAGGATCAATTGGAAGTTTTGTGACATCAAATTCCACATTATTCGATACCCTCTCATCAATATTATCTATGTTTCTTTTTCGTTGAAAGTATCTATTCATTTGATATCTAGATTTAAACATTTGATATCCAATTATTACGGGGAGTGAGTGAGAATAATTCATAATGACAAAAGAATCATATATTCACAATTTCACAATCTCAATTTGCAGTGCAATTCACATTTCACAATCCAATTCACAATTTCACAATATCAATTTACCTTCCAATTCGCAATTTCACAATGCAATTTATGCTATTTCACAATCTAATTCACAATTACACACTATCAATCCAATTTCACAATATCAATTCACCTTCCAAATCGCAAATTCACAATGCAATTTATACTATTTCACAATTTAATTCACAATTCACAATTTCACACTATCAATCCAATTTCACAATATCAATTCACCTACTAAGTTTTCCTTGTGTGAGAATCTGCACTGTAGAACCTTCACATGGGTGCAACAAATAAAAGCTACATCTGCAACAAATGAAATATGATAATGCAGTTAGAATATGTGCTTTTATTTGGTCTGCTTGTCGAATAGCCATCACGCAAAAAATACAAATCAGAACAAAGGGCCAGAAGTGTTCAGGTTCTCGAGCTCTCAAAGGCCAAATTGTCAAGCCAAGATGCAATTCATTCAAATTATCTTTCTGCCCAAGTTGCAATCAACTGATAGGAAAGTGATAGCCATTGTTAGCCTAAAAATACTGTCTTCTACTTTAGAGGCGACAGCTGGTGCGTGGTGCCTGGTGGGAGCCGATGGCAGACGGCAGTTGCGGCCTGCTGACTTGGGTGGGGGAGGATTGGGGTTTTGACTTTGGGGATATTTGATACACTTCTAAGGTCGGAGATTAAAGCCCCAATTCTAGGAGATGCCGGTGGCCACCGGTGGACTGGAAGTAGAAGTAGTCGGCGACGACACAGGGGCGGAGTTTCAAGAGAAGCAAGCGATTCAAAGGTTTGGTTTGATTTTGATTTCAATGAAACAGGTTAATTGAATGATTTGAATCAATAATCCGAGTCTGGGTCAGTAAACGGGTCATGGGCTGTGGGCAATTGAGCTTCCATCTGGGTTGGACATTTAATCAGGCTTTAAAAAAAAAAAAAATTAATTTTTCGGCCTACTGGAGCCCAAAAGTTCAGTGCAGGCAGATAGGTCCCGTTTCCCCTCTGTTGTTCGAACCCCAAGCCTCCCAACCCACTTGTTTGTTTTCTTCCTTCTTATATTTTCTATTTACTTTTTTATTTCATTAAAAATGAGGTACTAATGGTTTTCTGAACTAAAATTTGACAATTTAATAAAAGAGTTGACGGTTTCCATCTATTAGAACCAATGGCAGTACAAAATTGAAAGGATAAGGGTTTTTGCTATACCTGTATCCATAGTTGCATAGAGAGCAATCTTTGATAAAGTTAAAGAACATTATTTGGAAATAACCTTTTTGAATTGCATCATCAGAACCAAACATGCAATATTTTGCTTAAGATAACTGGTGTTAAGGTAGCTCTTGGGACGTGGAACTATATGATCACATGGGTATTATGTCCAGATTACTAATAAATGGCTGAACTGTATAGTGTTCGCATGAAGAATTTTACTATGTAATTTTTGATAATTAAGTTTGATCTAATCGACACTCAATGTTTGAATTGCAGGCTGTTTTTAATGCCACGGAAGAATTTGTGCTATCGATTGATGAACCAAGCAATGAGGTAGTCTACCTTTCCAAGTTGCTACTGCTAGAAACTGTAAACAAAAAGTATAGTCTACCTTTCCAAGTTGCTACTGCTAGAAACGGTAAACAAAAAGTAGAATACTTAACAAGCAGAATAAGACCGTTTTATAGTGTCACAATTAGATTGTAAATTAAATACGCAATCAAACTATTGGGAAAACAATGAAACAAAATCTGGAAAATACCATATAATTTCAGAGAACATGGAAATATTTCTATACCTTTAGTCAGATCTGATGATAGTGCTAATGTTTTGTTGAGGCTGCAGATTGTTATTTGGGATGCTCTTACGACAGAGAAAGTGGCTAGATGGCCTTCAAACCACATTGGTTCACCTCGTTGGCTCGAGCATTCACCCGTAGAGGCAGTATTTGTTACGTGTGGAACGGACAGATCAGTAAGGTTCTGGAAGGAGACAAATTAGGCTGGCATCGATAACATGTTCAGTATGTTGGATTGGACTGCCCATATTGGGAATTATTATGGAAAAAAATAAGTTAAAATCTTATTTGTTGTCCTATGTTATTATCGGGCAACATGTGGGACGAGAGGGGCTTTTGTCCTATAGACAACCTTCGAAAGCCCACAAAAATTACATAATTTTACTGGTTTTTTATCCCTGCCATCGGAATTTACAGAATTTTTTACCAATCAGATTGCCGTCTTCTGGTGTATTTCTGTGTGCATGTCATCGAATTTGAGTTCATTTGTTCGAAGCCTTGGTAGGTACTGGTCAAAGTTTGACAAGACGAGTGCAAAAACTTAAAAAGTTGCTACATTCTTGTGACGACACGTTTTGTGGCTAAGATTAGATAGCGTTGCAAAATATTATGATTTGCAAATATTATGAGACAAATGTTGAAAATTAGGGTTTCCCAACATTTCAGCTGGCGTGAAATTGCTCCCTAACTTCCAAATGTGTGTTTTTCCCTCTAATTATTCAAACATCCCTACTTATTGGAATCATTAGTTTGACCGTTACAAATTATTAGAAGCGATTATTAAGGCCTCAATCTTTGTCCATGGTAGTGTAGTGATTGTAGGTTGACGGAGTTAGCATGCACGGTCCTACCCCTTGTCGGGTGCTGGCTTCATCACTGACTATAGCTAGTTGTGAATTTTGCAAATCAACCAAATAAAGAGGGAAATGCCTCTGCATCTCTCGAGGGTGTTCTACATGGTGCAAAATGTAAAAGTGAAGCATATTAAGCCCGTATTTGTTTCTCATTATTTACCCATTAAAATGAAACTCCCGTTTGAGCCCCATTATTTGTATATTACAATGAGATGAATAGTATTTTTTTGAAGTGGTTGAAAATTTTTTTATTTACGTGTAATATTATTTTATTGAAAATTGTGTGGTTAAAAGTAGGAGAGAAAAAATTTTAATTTAATGTAATGATAAATAATGGGGCTCAAACGGGGGCAAAAAATATGATCGTTATCCATCATATCAAGTCACTATATTTGACTTTCTATCTCTTGTGTGGAATCCGTAACGATTATATTTTTCATTCTCATTTTTACAATAATGTGTATCAAACAAAATCTAAGTCAAAAGCTACCAAGTGGGAAATTACATTTTTCCAAGCTCAATGACAATTAAGGTCCCAACCATCCAACCGCTATTCATATTGGTTACTCACTAAGCCTTCTCTTTTAGGTCGACGAGAATAGCACCAGAACGAAAGGCTGTAAGCAACTGGTGAATCTTGATTGATTGAGACCAAGGAACCACAAAATAATAGAAAGTGAAGAGTGCATTTGATTTGTCGTTTTGAGGCCATTTTCAGTTTCCAGTTTTCTAACCCACTCAAAAACATGTTCAATATTTTATTGTCAAAAATATGTTTTTGAAAACAAGAAAATTACTACAACATAACACTCAAAATGACTTTTTGACGAAAAAAATTAAAAATAAGGAAAATGAACTTAAAATTTTTTTAAATTAAAATCATTAATAAAATCACACAAAACCTACCAAAATACAAATAAATACAAATACCCATATCTCTCTCTTTCTCCCCCTCCCAAGCTCCTTCAAGAATGATTTATTATGTAAGTGCATAAATGATACGAGTGACAATGATTTATTATGTAGATGCAATTGTTGGAGATATACTAATAATGATACCTTTTTTTTACCAACTTTAAAATTTACATTTTTTTTTATAACATATTAGCATAAAATTAATGTTTTACTAAATAATCAAATTAATTGAAAAATAAATGTCAGAAAACCATTTAAAAAAAATTTTAAAATTTTTTAAACAAAACATGTTTTCTAATATTTTGTCTTGAGAAACAGTTTTTCAGAATAATAAATCAAATATGTTTTGTGCAATCTTAAAATAATCTCTCAAAATAGAAAACTATAAATGAATTCAAAACTAAAAATAAAAAACAGAAATGCAAACCAAACGGACCCCAAGTTTTCCAATCCTGCAAAGTGGTAAGAGTGCACTCCTAATACTTTTCGTTGTGTTTGGCTGCGAGGGTTCTCAATCACACGGATAACTGAGTTCGCACAGTGTTCTTGTCAACATCTGACCGCACAGTTTCACTGCTTCTCCTTTATATGAAGCACTTAATTTCCTTGAATATAGCAAAGCAGACCATGGTTGCCCGTTCAAGTGCGGGCGCTGGGTGTTCCTCCTATCACTGGCCACCTATGTGCTATTTTATAGAGGGAGGAGGCAAGTAAATACAGCACAGCCAAAACTCAGCCACTGCCATTTTGCAAACATATTATGTCGTAAGCCAAGGTACATTACATTCTAGGGGAGCTTCCGTGAGGGAATATTCCCACAAAGAAGAAGCCCTTTCGGTAAGCTGACTGCTGATTGCCTTTTGGCACCTGGGAGTAAGTCCTGGTGAGGAGGGGCTGAGGACGCCCTGATAAGGGCAATAAACGAGCAAAGAGAGTACAGCTCCAGAAACCAACAAACACCAGCAGTGTAGTAAATTCCATTCAAGCCAATGATTCCATGTAAGATTTGATGTTTCTAGAATCTTCATTCGACTTGGGATGATTTTGTGGTTTAAAAAGCTTCCACATTCCAACTGGATGCCGGCTTCGAACTTCACTGCCTCCTCCAAACCTTCCATATATCTGCTCACATTCTGAGTATGGCTTAACATACCGATTATAGAATCTCAATCTGCTAAGCTTAATTAAATCCCTCAAACCGACCTCGTCTCCAAGTCCACCTATTGATCTCAAATGCTTAATCACGTTGAAACGAGGAAATATCTGTTTACCAAGATGCACCCCCAAATACTCAGGAACTTCAACTAAACACTGAACATCAAACTCCATCTCCTGCACCAAAAATTCGATTTTCTTCTCAATCTCCTCTATCTCATACAAAATCACTCTAGGCTCCTTCCACAAGACAGTAAAAGCGTCTCGATATATCAAACCATGTTTTCGTAAGCAATCAACCCTTATTTTCACTTCATAGCCAGCCCTAAATGCTCCATGGCGAAAAATATTCTCCTTAATAGGTAACCTACAACGCAAACTCTTTAGCAATTTCAAACACTGTGAAAACTCCCCATTTTCCAACCCAAGAATTCTTGGGTCCCTAATAACTTCTCTCCTAACCTCACTTAAGCTATAACCTAAATCTTCAAATTCATCAATCAATGGTTTCAGCCTATTTTCCACACCAAATGCCAAAATTCCAGGAAATGAACAAACTACCCGATCAATTTCTTTCTTCTGAATTCCAATCCTAATCAAGAACTCGGTTTTACCGCGAATCTTCTCCTCACTTGACATAATTACCATAGGAACTGCTTCCAAAACCCTGGTGACAGTGTTCTCTCTAAACCCCAACCTTTTCAAACACTTTATACACCTAAAAACGTCATCAGGTTTTAAATCATATTTCCTAGAAAATTCAAGAATATTCCGAATTGCCATTATACTAATATTTGAAATCCCCAATTCCGAAATGCCCAGTTGCCATTTTTCCAAGAATTCAAGTTCTAGAACACTGGGGCAGCTACATAATACACTAACAACGAAATCTTGAGAAGGGTTTAGCGATGATAAAATCTTGAGGGATTTTTCGATTTCTGGGGTATTGGAATTCAGCAAAAACTGATTCTTTTTTAGGAAATGGGGAAGTTCAGAGGGTGGGAAGCCATACCTTTGGAAGAGATTTGAGACAGGAATTAAATTCTTCTGATGGGATTTTGGAGCTGTGGAGAAAGATTGTGAATTTGGGTATGGAATGAAATGAACGGGAGCATAAATTGATCTGAAGAGAAGGAGAAATGGAGGTCGTGTTTTGATATTCCTGATTAACATAGCCATTGCCGAGGATCTGCAATCTGATGAATTGGCACCCAAATCTTTTGAATAATGAGGGTAGGTAAAATTGCAGCAACTGTGCTCAAATTTTTACCGTCCTTTACATATTCGTTTCGTTTCTTTTATATTTATTTTACACACATGTACTTAAAAATTAAATTTTTAGTAAATTTTAATAAAATATATATTTAAAGATTACGTACAATGTGTACCAGTTTTAACTAGTGAAGTATAATTCTTTTCATCTCTTTTTTCTTTCTTGAAAAATTTGGTTTTTCTGCATTATGTATCTGCTTGGAATAAAGCCAGGTAGCCAGATTGAAAAACAGGGAGTGAAGAGACAGATTAATGTGTCAGAAAATGATTTGATATTTTTTTATTTAATTTTTCAAACTATCCAATTATGTGTCAACACGTGTCCCATTTGGATTTGATCATGGATGTGTAGCATGATTGGTCTGCTTGTTACATAATCATGTTGAGCTGATTGTACGACCCAGTCCAAGCCTAACCCAATTGGCAGATTTTCAAGAAAAAAAAAAAAACTGAAAATTATATAAATGCCTACTTTTAAAGATTTCATTTCAAAAATTAGAAGTATAGTTTATATATACAAAAATCAGATGATAATACAATTTTTAATATTAAATAATAATATTATAAAATTCAATTAACGATATACCCACCCCAAACCCTAATATCCATTTTCTCTCTATCATTTCTATTATCTCTCTACTCCATTCTTTCCTCTCTTTATCATTGTCGGAGACACTACGCGTGCGACACTCTAGATGCCACCATCGCAGCGGCATCACTCCGAAGCAAACATCACTACCATGGATTTATTAAGAAGACGACGACGAGTCTGTTATAAGTAGCGATGAGCATCGCTACCTCATGGTGGTTGCAGATCCGTGTGTCTGAAACAAAAGGTGTGAATCGATGGTCGTGCAGTGGTTTGCAGTGTTGTGTGCGGTATTGTCAGTGGTGGTTTGTGCAGTGATGATGCCAATGGTGATGGTACGATTGGTGGAGGTTCGTGCAACAACAATGGTTTTGGGTTGGTTTCTTCTTTCAATATATTTCGTCGGAGCTTGGGGGGTACTTAGCCGATTTTTTTGTGGTGTTTGGTTGGTGCTCAACCGGTATTTTTGTTTTAGATTGTGAGGCGGTGGTGGCGGTGCCAATTTTATCTTTTGTTTCTATTTCTTTTGTGAGTTTCAGATTGTGAGGTTATGTTGGTGGTGGTTGTGGCGATGTGACTGTGAGGTGGCACTGACTCTTTTGATTCTTTTTCTGTTTTGTTACAGATTGTAATGTGGTGAGATGGTGGTCATGGTAGTGATGTGGTGATTGTAGGAGGTGAGGTTTGTGACCATTTGGTTGGTGGTGATAGTGGTAGTAGCGGCGACGTTGGTGACGATAGGTTTGGGAATTTTTTGGTTGATCATGGTGGTATGGTATGGTGGAGATAGTGGTCGCAAATGTTGGTGGTGTTCAAAAATTATTTGGTTGACTGTGACCATTAAATTGGTTAATATGTGACCAATAAATAATATATGACTAATTAAAAAAATAAATTGTGACCAAGAAATAATGTATGATCTAAAAATTTGTTATTGTAGTACCTTATAATATTAGTGATTTGTGACCAACAAATAAATCATAACTCCTAAATTTTTGATTTGTGACTGTTGAACAAAATGTGACATACGAAATTTTTGAATTATAACCATAAAATAATTTGTAACGTATAGAAATTTTCATTTGTCACCAAAAAATATATGTGACTAACTAAATCATTAAGGTCCCGTTTGATACGGGATACTTTTAAAAATGGAATAGTCAAAGAAGAGAAATTCCATTTTGACTTGTTCAATTCTTAAAATTATGACAATGGTCTATTGAGTGTTACAAGACAAAAATACCCTTGAGTGTATTATGCAATTACAAATGAAGGTTTTGTTTAAAAGATATTATTACCCTTTTGTTAACGAATAAAAATCAAACACTTCCCACTTAAAATATCAAAATCAGCAAACTTCTCATATTTGTTTGCTCCAATACAGATAAAAACACTTTCATCTTTCATCTGCTTCAACCTCAAGTTTGAAAAATTCATCGAATGCAGTAGATGAAATTTTTTTATATCAATCTCATCAGATCAGTAAGTTTATAATACATAGATTTAATTTTGTTTTTGTTAAATTATTTTACGTTTGTATAAATAAAATTTATTTCGACATATAATGTTAATGTAGATAGTTTTATTAATAGATCTGTGAAAAATTTTAAGCCCTTGACGAGAAAAAAATTTATCTGCATTAATACTGAAAAATTAATTTGCAAAAGTTTGGTGTGCTTATTCTGTCGGACAGCGAATTTGAACTGTCGGTTGTCCAGTTAACAGTCTCTTGCAATTAAAAATTCTTTTTCGCCGTGCAGATATAGTTGTAATCCCAATTTATTATTTTGGTGATTTTGAATTGGACGAAAGAGATCGATGGATATAGAAATGGACGAGCAATAAACGTGGTGGTATCCCAATTTTCATAACAGAAACAACAACGTATGCAGAACTCTATAATCTTTTACAGATCAAGCTAAATGTCAATCTCTCTCAGTATGACATGGAATTGATATTAAATTCAGCGATCAGGAAGTTCCGAGTCCACCTATGACGATTTCTTCTGTTGTTGAAGTGAATTATCTGTTTGAAATGAACAATAGATACTCGACTCCTGTTTACGTGACTTTAGTGAGGAAGGATGTCGTCGAAGGTGAACAAGTAGACTCAGATGGAGGGAATAACAATGGTAATAATTTTTGGGATACGATCCAGATAGCTCGTAAAGATGATGCGGTTATTCCAAAAACGGTTATTCACAGAATTGTCTGTGGTTCACGACAATGAGTGTAAAAAATGCAAATACTTTTACAGACGAGGATTTGATCGCTTTATCCCGACAGAGACATGAGCGGGGTGGGACCTCAGGGGCTGGATAGAGTGAATCGTCCTCTAATTCCTCCCGTGTGGTTCCAGATAGTGAGGATTTGTATGTCAAGCAACTGTTTGAAACGAAAAAAGATTTGCAAGTTGTGTTGTGCACCTAATTGCGCTGAAATACAACTTTGAGTTTAAAGTGAAAAAATCGAATAAATTGTTGTGACAATTGCCTGCGTAGACGACAGTTGTTGTTGGCATTTGTGAGCGACGAAGATGAACACGAATGAGTGCTTTGTAATTTGCAAGTACACACGGGAATATACTTGTGAAGTGGGATTATGTCGAAATGATCAAAGGCAAGCCCGAGTTTGGTTTATCGGTCGACAGATAATGCACAAGTATCAGGATCTTGTATGATCTACAGATCATCGGACATCATTAACTACGTCCGTCGAGAGTACGGAGTAGTCTTGAGCTACCAGAATGCCTGGAAGGCTAAGGAATGTGCGTTTGAGGATTTAATGGGCTCTGCAGAGGAAAACTATGCTAAATTGACCAAGTATTGCCATAACATGGAGAAAACTAATCTTGACTCGGAATTTTTTATTGAGACGGAGGGTGGGAATTGCTTCAAATTCTTTTTCATGGCTCTTGGACAATGCACTCGGGGATTTCGAAATGCAATGCGACCCCTAATTCTAGTTGATGGTACAACACTGAAATTTAAATATCAAGACAAGTTGATTATTGCTACATGTCAAGATGCCAACATCCAAATTTACCCTCTTGCGTTCGGCATAGTCGATAGCGAGAATGACCCTGTCGATGTGGTGGTTCTTCACAAAGTTAAGGGAAGTAATCAGGGAAGTCGAGTACCTTGCATTTGTAACAGATCGAAGACAGCCTTTAATAAATGGTATCACTGAATTTTTCCAAATGCACATCATGGGTATTGTATGTACCATATTCAAGGAAATCTAAAGACCAGGTATCGGGGCAAAGGTATCGTTTCATTGTTCAGGAGAGCGACTGAAGCCTACAGTGTTGACGAGTGTAATAAGTTCATGGTTGAAATAGGAAGTAAATCATTCGATGCATGAGATTATCTAACGAAAATGGGGATTGAACATTGGGCGCACACGTTTTTCCAAAGACATCGATACAACATGATGACGTCAAACAACGCGGAGTCTTTCAATGTATTATTCAAGAAAGATCGGAAATCACTCATTCTTGCACGGATTGAGAATATCCATACCAAGCTATAGCAGTGGTTTCACGATCGACGTGCAGAATCACAGAATTGCACGAGTGTGCTAGCCCCGGCGCAAGAGGAAAGGCTATTCAAAGCTGCAAAACTTGCAAGACAGTTGAATGTCGAACTACTAGACTAGTCGCACTTCTCAGTGGAATGTGCACGTAATACGACATACATGGTGGACTTGACTGATAACACGTGCAATTGTAAAAAAATTCAATTGGAGACTTTCCGTATGAGCATGAAGTCGCAGTTCCTATGTATCGAGGATTTGCAGCTAGACATTTTGCTCTCATTACTACACGACTGATTATTGGAGAGCTGCTTATGCTAAGACAATATTTCCTCTGCCGAACGAAGCTGAGTGTGAAGTCCCCGACCATATTCGCCCATTGAATACATTGTTGCCACCTCTCATTGAATCGCGTTGTCCTGGACATCCAAGTACGTCTAGAATACCATCTACCGGAGAAGTCCCTCGACCGCGTAGGTACCGTCGGTGCAAATCAGTAGGGCATACTCATTAATATTGTACAAGTCATGTTTCTCTAAATGATAGTTAGATCATTTGGTAATGTTGTCCATCTGAATTAAACAGTGTTTGCATTTATTCTACGATAACAAATTAATTGTCGTCGTAGTTAATAATCATTTCATAATCCATTACAGTGTGTTATAAACATTTCGTAAGTACAACAAGTCAATATTTACAGTGTTTACAATTATTTCGTAGTTACAAAAAATTACAACTAATAATTACAATAAATCTATGGATCACCATTAAAATAGAATAAGTCACATGCCAACTTATTCCGCCAACTCTGTATCCAGGATTGGTTGATTCTATCAACCTTATTTGCTATACTCAGAAATTCGATATACTTTATTGC